GGCGCCTGGGTGGCTCAGTTGTTAAGCGTCTGCCTTCGGCTCAGGTCACGATCCCAGGGTCCTGGGATCCAGCCCCACATCGGGATCCAGCCCCACATCGGGCTCCAGGCTCAGCGGGAAGCCTGCTTCTCCCTCTCCCACTCCCCCTGCTTGTGTTCCCTCTCTTGCTGTGTCTCTCTCTCTGTCAAATAAATAAGATCTTTAAAAAAAATCTTAAATAAAACCTTGAATTTGGATAGCTTTTAAAAATTTTAAGAATTCACTAGCAATGGGGGCGCCTGGTGGCTCAGTTGTTAAGCGTCTGCCTTCGGCTGATCCCAGAGTCCTGGGATGGAGCCCCGCATCGGGATCCCTCCTCCGCGGGAAGCCTGCTTCTCCCTCTCCCACTCCCCCTGCTTGTGTTCCCTCTCTCGCTGTGTTTCTGTCAAATAAACAAAACATCTTAAAAAAAAAAAAGGAATTCACTAGCAATGATTTGTTCTGGAAGACAATTTTCCAAGCAGCTAACGAGGATTTACTGACACAGCTATGCTATAGTGAAACAAATTCTAGATTTGAAATCAGAAGCTCTGGATTTAGTCTAGGTCTGACAATTAGTGACTACGTGAAATGAGTCAGACATGTCTTCAACTGTAAAATGGGAACAACATCTATCTTCTATGGTTTCCCTGGAAGATGGAATGACAAACCACATTTTGAAACCACTTTGAAAACCACAAACTGTTGTATCAAAGTAAGGCTTTATCATCAGTCCTGAGCAGCAGAGATAAATCACTGTACATCTAGACTGTATATTAACAATCTGTACATCTGTATATCAACAATCCCCAAAAAGTAGTGAGTCAGGAAAAAAAACTGAACACTTCAATTTTAATTTCATAGTCATACGAATGCAAAAAGTTTTACTGTGTCCAGCAACAAGTAAATCAAATATGTTTCCCCTTGTACCTAATGGCCACAATTTTCTAAAAATACCTGATTTTTCATGCTTTAGTTGGTTTGGGAAATTAAGATCTGTACCATACACAGGAGAGGATTCAAACACTATGTTCAAGAAGGACTAGCTGTGTGGCAGGGATGCAGTTTTTAAGATCACCCTTCAAGCCTTTTCCTTCAGGTGTTAAGATTACACAGACTTCTGTGAGCAGAACGCAACATGGGCCGCGAGATATGCTCAGAATCACATCCGACAACTGTCTCTATGAGTGGTACCGGTAATTAACGTGGATCGCTGAAACTGGAGACTAGGTTTACAATACCCACGACTGTCCTGGGCTATACATTGAAGAAACTACAGCAGCAGGTCAACACTCACTCAATGACTCCTTAAGAAGTCTGTCTACACAAATCTTAGCAGCAGTACTGGCAACGATCTTTTCATACTAAGTATGAGGAGCAGTGTCTGAGTTCTGACATTTAAAAAACAAAGCCGAAGCAAACGCAGAGCGGGAGAAAGGTGTTTAACAGAGCACCAGCAGCAAGGCTTTGTACGACCCAAGGCACGTGGGAGCTCACTGGGGCAGTCTCTTGCCCTAGGCAAGAAGATGCTTACAAGAACCTTTTTACGGTACTAGAGGGTTCGGTCCAGAACTGCTCCGCCCGATCCATGAGTCAGCAGCCGGGAGAGAAAAAGAAACTGTAGGAGCAGAAAGAAGACGCCCCCTCCCTCCTTCCTTTCGGTCTGGGCAACGATAGCTGTATAGCCCGGAGCAGAAAGGCACTGGCGTCACGGCCCCACACGTCCGGGGGCTAGTCGCCAGGGACAAGGGCAGAGCGATTTCGGGGTCGCGCAGGTGGAGGACTGAGGCAAGGGCGGCTAAGGCGGGACGGAGCCGGGGTTGAGTGGGCACGTACCAGAGGTCAGAGCGTGGGTGATGGCGGTGCCCTGGCCGTCCGCAGCGCTCGGCAAGAGCAGCATGATGGCGCCGGGACCAGCCCCGCTGGCTAAGCGGTTCGCGTCCCGGGCGGAGGGCGCTTAGCGTCCCCTCCAGCTCTACCTCTCGGTCCGAGCCTCGCGCCTTGGCTCTACGACGCCCAGGAACCGGCGCATGGAGACGACCAATAACTACTTCCGGGATGGATCTTTCGCGGTGCGGAGGCCAATTCCACCCCCACACACCGCGCCAACGTGTGCGGCAGCCTAGTTCCGCTGCTGACTCAGATCCGGTTGGGGACCGACTCTCACAAAAGAAAGGTTCCTAGACTCCTCAGTTCCCCGGCGAAAAGGATTATTTTTTCTCCAACAGGTGCTACTCGTGGAGCATAATTTTCCGAAGCAGCTCTTACAATGTTTTTATTTTTTTAATTTTATTATATACAATGTTTTTATTTTTAAATTACTACTAGCCCGACCCTAACCGCTGATTTTTCCAGTAGCTCTACTAGCACAAATAAAAAAATGAAAATATATGTACGTATTAGTATTGAGAATTATTGTAGTCTATGTGTACCTATAGAGAATTTTGTACATATATCTGTAATATATTTGCGTTTACCTAATTAATAATGTCAACTACTATTTGTTGCGATATTCTTAATTTACCTGCGTTGTCTCATTTAATCCTCATGACATTTGGAGAAGACCACCTCCTCAGTGTTAAGTTTTATTCCAAGGCCAGCAATCTCTTTACCCTGTTCTAAAAGCATGAAGTTGTTTGTTTCGCCCCCCATGATATTACCAATTACAGGATTCTGGAACTTAGTTGTTTAATGTATAATAAAATCAATTGTACTCCTACTATGATCCCTTCTAGGATTGAGGTCAAACGCAAAAACTAGCAAAAGGAAACCAGTGGATAAAGATTCACCCCTCTCTCCCACCCCTTCCAGCCCTGCAGCAGTATCTGGAATAGGCTGAGAAAAATGAAAGACTTGAAGTTGGAGAATTAGTCTCTATGAATTACATTTTCACTGTAAAATAAGTTGAATGGGCCTCCTATCTACCACATGACAAAACTGTCACTTCAAAATTGACATTTCAAAAAGTTAATTATCTCTCCCTAAACCTCTTCCTGACCCCTTTCTTTATTAATGCAACCACTTGTTAAAACAGGCTTTAAGGCTCAAAGTAACCTGAGTCCACTTTCTTTTCTGACACCTACCCCATCCAGTCTTACAATTACCTCTAAGGTCATATGGGTTGTTTTTTTTTTTAATTGTGGTAAAATACACATAACATGAAATTCACATCCTAAACATTTTTTTAGTGTACAGTTCAGTAGTGTTAAATACATTCATTTTGTTTTGTTTTTTTAAATACTTTTGAAAAAAGATTTTTATTTATTTGAGAGAGAGAGAAAGAGCAGGAAGGTGGGGCAGAGGGAGAGAGAAGCAGGCTCCAGGCTGAGCAGGGAGCCTGATGCCTGGACTCCATCCCAGGACCCTGGGACCGTGACCCTGACCTGAAGGCTGACAACTCAACTGACTGAGCCACCCAGGCACCCCATTCATTTTGTTGTGCAACCAATTGTCAAAACTTTTCATCTTGCAAAACTGAAACTCTATGCCCATTAAATAACAACTCCCCATTTCTACCTCCCCCTAGTCTCTGGCAACCACCATTCTAATTTCTGTCTCTGAGAATTTGACTACTCTAGATACCTCATGTAAGTAGAATCACACACTATTTGTCTTTTGGTGACTAATTACATCACATAACATCTTTACAACTGTATGCATCCGAATTTCTTCCTTTTTAAGGCTGAGTAAGATTTCATGGTTATGTACATTTTACTTACCCATTCATTTGCCTATGGGGTTGCTTTCACCTTTTGGCTATTGGGAACAGTGCTGCTATGAACATGGAGATATAAATTATTTTTTTGAGACCTGGCTTTTGATTCTTTTGAGTATATCCGGAACTGAAATTGCTGGATCATATGGTAATTATATTTTTAATTTTTTGAGGCATTGCCATACTATTTTCCATAGTTATATCATTTTACATCTCACCAACAGTACGGAAGGTTTCCTTTTTCTTCACATCCTCACCAACACCTATTTTCTTCCTCCTCACGCCCTTTTTTTGATAGTAGCCATTCTAATGGGTGTAAGGCAGTATCTCCCGGTTTTGATTTGCATTTCCCCAATGGCTAGTGTTGTTGAGTATCTTTTGCGTGCGCTTGCTGCCCATTTGTATATCTTCTTTGGAGAGATTGCATATTCAAATCCATTGCCCATTTTTCGTTATTTTTTTTTTCAAGATTTTATTTACTTATTTGAGAGAGCGAGTTGGCAGAGCCTGAAGAGGGGCTCCATGCGGGGCTCGATCTCAAGAGCCTGAGATCGTGACGTGAACCAAAATCAAGAATCAGACCTCTGCTCAACCAACTTAGCCACCCAGGCGCCCCCACTGCCCATTTTTTAAAATGGGGCCGTTTTCCTCCAGTCGTAGTTCTTCATATATTCGAGATTATTAATCCGTTATCGGATTTATGACATGCAAATACTTTCTCCCACCCTGCAGGTTACGTTTTCACTCTATTCACTGCCAGGCTTTTCATTTCTAAATTTGCAGTTGTTTCCTAACTATTCATTTCTGTTCATCACCTAAACTAATTTCTTTCAAACCTGCTCTTTTCCCCAACTCCGCCGTACCTGAGGATGGTTCCCACCACTCTTCTTTGCCAGGAGGTTCGAAAATTGAAACTGTTTATCTCATCTCACGCTGACATCAAATTAATGAACACCTTCTATTTACCTCCCTCTATTTGTAGATCTAGCTACTACGTACTGCGTATTTAATACCCCGGATACTTTGAAACTGTTATTTACTGTCTCGACAATGCTATGAGATAAAGGATAAACTAGGGTACAGTAGTTACCCGAGAGTGCACAGGGAAGATATGACTAAATAAGGATTTAAACTCAGCGACGTAGCCAGGGTGGGTTTCAGAATCCGTTGCTCAGGGCAAGTCTCCCCGGTGAGGCGCCAGGGCCGACCCACGTTCGGTTCCCACCGGGAATCCCTCGCACTCCGCGTAACTGCGAGGAGAACGTCAGCACGGGGGCCCCGGCCCTCCCTTCCGGTTCTCGTGCGCAGACCAAACGGGTCCGCAGAGCTCGGCTTACTTCCGGCGAGGAAAGGAAAGAGCGGCACCACCGGAAGCGACAGAGGTGCTGTGTAATCAGTAAGGTGTTGAGGCACTCGGAGCATCTAAAATGCCGGATTACCTCGGTGCCGATCAGCGGAAAACCAAAGAGGATGAGAAGGACGACAAGCCCATCCGAGGTCAGTTGACATAGGCTGGCGGTCCGGGCCGGAGCAGAACCAGGCTTGGCCCCGGAGGGGAGGCTGGATTCCCTGCTCGCCACTCGGCGCTGTGTCCCTTTTGTGCCCCTGATGATTTAGTGGGTGGCGGCAGCCGGTTTAGCCTGCCTGCCTTCTCTCTGCCCCTCGTGCTGCGCCAAGTTCTCTGTTCATGTCCCGCCGATCGAGGTGTTTGTTCATACTCAGCTGTCAGGTCTTCTTGAGGAAGTCACGCACCCTGCTTGGCCTGGCCGGCCTTGAAAAGTGTCCCCGCCTGGCGGTGCCTGGTCACCTGGATCCTCTTTCCTGTCCCTCCTCCCCTTCTAGTGGGACGGCTTGGTGCTATCCCTGTGTAACCGGGATCCTGAGACGTAGTTTTATTAAAACACACACACACACACACACACACACACACACACACACACACACACAACATTCCTTTGGTTAATTTATTCATATGGTTCAAAACACTAAAATCATAAAAAAAGATACATTGAAAGGTGTCTCACCCTTGACCCCAGCCATCCATTATCCACCGAGGCAACTCGTGTTGCCATTTCGCCTTATCTTTCTAGACATTTTCTGTGCATGAACAAGCGTTTATCTATTTTTACATAAACGGAGCATATTGTACATCTTGCTTTTTTCCCATCTTCATGTGTCTTAGGGATAAGTTCATATCGTTATATAAAGGGTCCGTGCTGTGTGCCTGTCTGCATCTGCATAGTATCCCACTTTATTGGGGGAGCAGTAATATATATAATTAATCCTTACTGATGCACATTTAGATTTCTTCCAATCTGATCGCCATTCTAGAGCAACGAATAACCTTGTTCCTATAACTTATCCCAGGCACAAACACAAGCTGTAGGATGAATTTTAGAAACAGAGTTGTAATTTTGATAATGTGAAATTACTCTCTGTAGAGACTATACCACTTGACACTTCTACCCACAGTGCAGGAGATAATGCACACCCAGTTTACCTTTCTTCCCCTTTTAGTCTCATCTTTATGCTGTTTTCTTCTTTGGTTCCTTACAGACTATTTAAAAAACATTTTTGCATTGTTTTTTTTTTCCTTTCTTTTCTCTTATTCTTCCCTTCCTAAACAACTTCACCCTCTCCTAGCAACTGTTTTCTTTTCCATTTCGACCTCCCTGCCAAAGAAAGAAATATTCTCTCTACTTTGATCCCACACTCTACTCTTTGCCTTGGAAGTATTTTAGGATACAGCTTAGAGCTACTCAGGCACCTGGTGGAGAACTTAAAGAGATTTAACATTTCATCCGTGTATTTCTCTGGGTGGGTTATCATTCTGCAAATGTATTATTAAATTTATCCCTTGCATATATATATGATTAATGTGTATAGAATTTTATGTGCTTCTTCATCCATATCTAATTTGGTCTTTATAACAACATTGTGAGAGTAAGATGAGTTATCTCTGTTTTTGAGATGACAAAACTGATGCTTTAGATTAAGTGGTTTTTCCAACATTACTTAGCAAATGCATGACTTGCTGGGACTTTGCTAGTGCCCAGGTTGTTCTGATTCTCAAACTGTCTTTGGGCTCCCTGTTCTTTTTGTGTCACAGGACTTTGAGACTCTTCAGCATTTATGTTATACAGTTGGTAAACATCTGCCTACACCCAGTTAGATAAAAGTTCCTTGAGTCCAGGAACTTTTTGTTCGTTCTGTTTATATCATTACATCTTTGCATAATTTTTCTCACTCAATAAATGCAATTTAAATTGAACAGAAAAGAATTGCTAGCTCTAGTTTTCTCTTTTTGAATCTAATATGTTATCTTTCTTATTTTAGCTCTGGATGAGGGGGATATTGCCTTGCTGAAAACTTATGTAAGTTTTTTCAGTGTCTACCAAATACAGATGTTTTATGTTGAAATAAGAACTACTGTTGGTATTATCCTTCCAAAATAATTAAGAAGAGAATGTCTAGGGTGCCTGGGTGGCTCAGTTGGTTAGGCGACTGCCTTCAGCTCAGGTCATGATCCCGGAGTCCTGGGATCGAGTCCCACATCGGGCTCCCCGCTCAGCGGGGAGTCTGCTTCTCCCTCTGACCCTCTTCCCTCTCGTGCTCTCTATCTCTCATTCTCTCTCTCTCAAATAAATAAATAAAATCTTAAAAAAAAAAAAGAATGTCTAGCAGTTTATAGTAATCCTCACTGAAAAAAGTTAACGTACCACAGTTTCTCTCTAGATTAGATCAGAGAGTAAATATTCAGCATGTCAAAGCTGGTACTTTTTTGGGCGCCTGGGTGGCTCAGTTGGTTAAGCGACTGCCTTCAGCTCAGGTCATGATCCTGGAGTCCCTGGATCAAGTCCTGCATCGGGCTCCCTGCTCAGCGGGGAGTCTGCTTCTCCCTCTGACCCTCCCCCCCCATGTGCTTTCTCTCTCTCTCATTCTCTCTCTCAAATAAATAAATAAAGTCTTTAAAAAAAAAAAAGCTGGTACTTTTTTTTTTATACTATTTGTAATTAAGTGTGGTACTATATTGAAAGATACTTGAAATAATTTACACAAATGTGTACTATATTTAAAATGTATGTAACTGAATTAGAAATGAAAAGTTTTAATGCATAGAAATGGGCTTCTTTTGGTTAATTTCAGGTATGATTTTCATTGGTTAGCTTCCATAATGATGTATTGTTTGGGGGGAAAATACTGGTTTAGGAATAGTTCTGAAAGATAATGCTTTCTACTTCCATTTCACAAGCTTTGGGTCAATAATAGCTATTAACATTGTAACTGTTAAAGTTTCTGTCTGCAGTTTAATGAATTGTTGATGTCTTAATGTTCTAATTAAAGTGATCTTTATCTCCTAGGGTCAAAGCACTTATTCTAGGCAGATAAAGCAGGTTGAAGATGACATTCAGCAACTTCTCAAGAAAATTAATGAGCTCACTGGTATATATTTCTTTATTCTTGTCTCCTCTCTTTAAATGTCATGGGTTAATTATATCAAAAGAATTTAACTACAAGACTTCCTCTTTCACGAATTACAGATTAAAAAAATTATTATCCTATCTGTTAAGAAATTAGATCTCCTTCGCTCTCAAATAAATAAATAAAATCTAGGGGCGCTGGGTGGCTCAGATGGTTAAGCGTCTGCCTTTGGCTCAGGTCATGATCCCAGGGTCCTGGGATTGAGGTCCGCTTCTGGCTCCTGGCTCGGCGGGGAGCCTGCTTCTCCCTCTCCCTCTGCCTCTCCCCCTGCTCATGCTCTCGTTCTCTCTGTGTCTCTGTGTCTCGAGTGAATAAATAAAACCTTTAATAAATAAATAAAATCTAAATTAAAAAAAAGAAATTAGATCTCCTTATCTAATAATCTTTCACTTCCTTTTACAACCAAGTCCAGTGCTTAAGCAGTTAAGCAACATCATCCTTTAAGCAAATGTTCTGTTGGTCAGAGCCAAGTTCAATAAACATTTCTAATAAACAAGTAAAAATTTCTTAGTGAATAAAAATGTGGTCTCCCATGGTATTACTTGAAGTAAGTGGGCTATTGTCTAGTAGTTGGAAACTTTTCTTCTCAGTAATTTGAGTGGTGAAGTTTTACAGTATTTGACCTGCACAAATTTGTGAAATATGGTGTTGAATTTTGGCTTGTAATTACTTTAGGGCAGCGGTTTTCAAATGGGGTGATTTTGCCCCAGTGCCCCCATCCCCCAGGACATTTGGCAGTGACTAGAGATACTCTTGATGCTTATGACTTGAGGGGGAGGTGGTGCTGGTGGCATCTCGTGGCTAACGGCCAGGGATGCTGCCTACTACACGAAAATGCACAGGACACCCCCTACAACAAATTATGCCATCCAAAATGTCAGTAGTGCTGAGCTTGAGAACGTCTGCTTGTGGGTGATACATTACATTTCTGTGAATTTTGTTCTCTTTCTTTATGTAGGTATTAAAGAATCTGATACTGGCCTGGCCCCACCAGCACTCTGGGATTTGGCTGCAGACAAGCAAACACTGCAGAGTGAACAGCCTTTACAGGTTGCGAGGTATGCATAGAACTCTGGAAATTTATTTTTATGTGTACTTTTAAGCACTTTTTAGAATCTAGGGTATACTCAATAGTTCATAAAAATTTTTTATTCCTAATTCGAAGTAAACAAAGCTTTTTACAGAAGTATCTGGGATTAAATTTTATGACTTCAACAATTATTCAAGAAGTAGGTGAAGACATAATCGTATAAAAAAAATCAGAAGATCCAAATGGTACAAAAAAGATCAGGTGAAGAAAGGGAAACCTTCCTTCGCATCTTTGCTGTCCCCTTCCTCAGCTGCAACTGAAAATGGTTTGGTCCTCTTGGTCCACCTGTGTGTCTTTATGTATATATTTGCATGCAAACAAACATATCCTGGGGTTTTTTTTTTTTTTTTTTTTTTTAGTACTTCCTTTTTCTTTCTCATGCTGTAGATTCTGGTTTATTTACAATTTTGTTACTGTACATGATGCTACACTGAATTTTGATGTTATATATTTCTCTGTGTGTGTACACTTCTGTAGTATAGCTTACTAGCAGTGCATTTGGGAGGTCAAAGGCATTTACAGTTTTGAAAATCTGGAAAAAGGTGGTTTGACCGGTTTACACTCCTCAGCATGAGGCTTTGAAGTGAATACCTGTTTTCCTGATGAGTATAAGATACGTGATCATCTATTTTTACACTTTTACCATTTGGGGGGAAAAACATCTCATTTTAATTTGCATTATGCTGATTACTAGTATGACAGCTTCTTATACTTACTAAACATTTGCATTTCTGTGTCCATTCATGTTTTGTTCTGTTGGGTGGTTTTTGTGAATTTTTAGGAGGACTTTATATATTGTGCATATTAATCTTTTCTTTAGTATGCTACAAATACTCTGTCACTTGACTTAACTTCTTGGTACCTTTTGTTGTACTAATGTTTAAAATTTTTAGGAGGTTAATAAAATACATAAATGCTTTCACTATACCTTTTGGGTTTGATTGTTGCTCAAGAAGGCTTAGCTCAATCCAAGATTATATTCTCCTGTATTGTATTCTAATAGTTGAAAATTTTGTTTCAGTTTTAATCTCTTTACTACAGCTTATTTTACTACAGATTATTTTTCCTTTCCTCTTTTCCTTCCTCCCTCCCTCCCTCTTTTCGGTCTCTCCTTCTTTCCATTTATTGGTTTATTTTTCAGTTTTATCATGGTTTTAAAGAGTTAAATAATTCTAGGACAATAGTTGTCTTTCCCTATTTCTCTTCCCTAGAGACACCTATTTTCAAAATTTTTAACTGGTTCTTTGGTTTCTGCCTTCATGATTCTTATGGACATAATTCTTGTATATTGTAGATTGCATCTTGTTTTTTTAGTTTTAGTATTATCTGTTGGCTTGAGGATTTTGTTTCGTTTCCTCTGCCTTCATCCCCAAGACATACCTTTCCTATCCCTACATCCTCCTAATGTAATTACAGTAAAATTTTGGTTGGATTAGTAGTCATTGATTTCCTAACTGTGGCTAAGTAGTGCTGTTCACAAAGAGGCAAGTAGCAAATGGTGATTACTTTTTCTTTCTCGTACCATTTTTTGTTTTCCTTGTCATAATTGTCTTGTTTTCTCATTTGCCCGGTTTTCTCTGTATATAAAAACTCAACCCTCCAGTTTTTCCTGACTGTGTAAATAGCTCTTCAGATGCATTAGGTCCATCAGGTTTTTTCTCACGTATACCTCAGGTGCACTGTGCCACAGGTCCTCTCGGGTCCATTCTCCTAAAGAAGTCTTTCCCAGCACTGCCTACCTGCTTCAGTTTGCACTGTGGCCCTTTGCACCTGCTAAATCACAACCATCCTGTGACCTCTGACCCTGCAGGTTCCCTTGGCCTCTCTCCTGGTGCTTGCGTACCATGAGTTTCTCTTGTTGGTTTACTTACACCCGCATTAGGTGTAAGTATTAGCTCTCTGGTAGCTTCCTGAAAGAAGTGAGTTGGGAGGCAATATTTTGAGACCATGTATGTCTGAAAATGTCTTGGTATAAAGTTCCTTCTTCAGAATTTTGAAGGCAGCATTCCATGGTCTTCCACCTCCCAGGGTTGTTGGTCCGAAGCTCTTCTGATTCCCAGTCCTGTATCTGTGACCTGTTTCTCATCTGAAAGTTGTAGGGTCTCCTCGTTCTCACGATTCTGAGATTGTAGGGTCTCCTCGTTCTCACGATTCTGAGATTTCATGATGACATGCCTCAGTATTGGGGAATTTTCACCCACGGTGCTGGGCTCTCATGGCCTTCACTGTGGCAGTTTTTCTTGAAATTATTTGTTAATAATTTCTTTCTGTTTTCTTGGTCCTCTTTTCCAGGCTTGTATTACTTGGATCTTGGGCCTCCTGGATATCTCTGCTAATATGCTATTCTTTCCCGTGTGGGGTTTTGTTTTGTTTTGTTTTGGTCTTTTTGCTCTACTTTTTGTGAGATTTTTCTTAACGTTAAGTTCTTTTATTGATTTTTGTTCCTGTCTGTAAAGTTTCTCTTCTCAAGCTTTTAATTTCTAAGAGCTCTTTATTCTTCCGATATATGTGTTTTGTTGTTTTTTTTTTGAATGCCCTTTTTTTTTTTAAGATTTTATTTATTTGACAGAGAGGGAGATAGCGAGAGTAGGAACACAAGCAGGGGGAGTGGGAGAGGGAGAAGCAGGCTTCCTGTGGAGCAGGAGCCTGATGTGGGGCTTGATCCCAGGACCCTGGGATCATTACCCGAGCTGAAGGCAGACGCTTAAGGACTGAACCACCCAGGCGCCCCGAATGTCCTCTATTTTCGAATCATGGTTGTACTATGTTCTCATCTCTAAGGAAATTAATGATAACTGCAAGGTTTCTACTTCATCCGAGATGCTTTTTTTCCCTTCACTTGTTTGGTGTCCCATCTTTTATGCTAGATGTCTGGTAAATCGTACTTTGGTTTTAGTTGGAGACTTAAGAGCTGAGAGAAACTCCGCTTGATTCTGGAAGTTGACGTCCTTACATATGTATATATACTTTTTCAGCTTTAGATTTACAAAATCCTTATTTGTGCAGACAGTGTTGACATGGTTTGTCAGAGAAAGTAGTAATAGGTACTTTCTATGTAATCCTCCCTGGTAGACCTTGGCTGGTAACAGAAAACAGTCCTGTCACACAGTTATGCTGTGGGGATAAAGGATTCGTTTTTTTTTTTTTTAAGATTTTATTTATTTGAGAGAGACACAGAAACAGGGAGAGAGCACGAATGGGGAGAGGGAGAAGCAGGCTTCCCACTGAGCAGGGAGCCCGATGCAGGATTCGATCCCAGGACCCTGGGATCATGAGCTGAGCTGAAAGCAGACACTTAACCAACTGAGCCACCCAGGTGCCCTGGGGACAAAGCATTCTTGAGTTTACTTTGGGCTCTACCTTTATGTACGCTCCAGACTATTTTGTATTTCCCCATATAATTGCTACAACTTATGACATGGATTTTTTCTAAAGTGGGTTCTGTTCTTTGTTTCCTTCCATCAAAGAGTAAAGGCGGTGGACTACTTTTGACTGTGATGTACATGGTATTACAAATTTGCCTTCACCATGTCACACAGAAAAAGAATACATTTGAGTTAAGAATAGCAACAATGATAAACATGGATTTGAAGTATAAACTCAGGAAAGAATGTAAATACATTTATTACTTAAGTTGATGTAAGACAAGATGAGCATCTTCCTAAAGGGAATATAAAAAGGAGAGTAACTTAAGATACAGAGGAGTATCACTAATGAATGTAGTTAAGAAAATCAAGAGTTTGGGGCGCCTGGGTGGCTCAGCCAGTTAAGCGTCTGCCTTTGGCTCAGGTCCTGATCCTGGGGTGCTGGGATCGAGCCCTGCATCGGGCTCTCTGCTCAGCTTCTCCTCTCCCTGCTCATGTTCTTTCTCCCTGTCTCTGTGTGTCTCTCAAATAAATAAATAAAATCTTAAAAAAAAAATCAAGAAATTAGAGAACTCCTTACTGATGAAATATTTGGGTGTAACTTTCTAGGGGAATGTATTTTTTTTTTTAAAGATTTTATTTATTCGAGAGAGACACAGCGAGAGAGGGAACACAAGCAGGGGGAGTGGGAGAGGGAGAAGCAGGCTTCCCACCGAGCAGGGAGCCTGATGCGGGGTTCGATCCCAGGACCCCGGGATCATGACCTGAGCCAAAGGCAGACGCTTAACGACTGAGCCACCCAGGCGCCCCATAGGGGAATGTATCTTTTGAAAATTTTACAGCTTAGCTAATTTGAGTGGACCCTTGGGTTTCTATAGTAAAGGATCTTTGGCAGTGATCTAATTTCTGCAGTTCTAGTTTATACCTGCTCATTAGTATACTGCTTGCCCAGGAGAGAATCCAGTTACTTGAATTCATTATTAGTGGTTTAGTTTCCTTACTCTAACCAAGCCTTTTGCTGTGTTAGGTGTACGAAGATAATCAATGCTGATTCGGAGGACCCGAAGTACATTATCAATGTGAAGCAGTTTGCCAAGTTTGTGGTGGACCTCAGTGATCAGGTAGCACCTACTGACATTGAAGAAGGGATGAGAGTTGGGTAAGACTCCATTTTACAGTAAATACTTCTCTTTCATTAAAGATACCATGTCACATTCACATCCTTGGCTTTCTTTGGAATGAATGAACTGGGTGCCGTAGAATAACGAAGAAATACTCTGTAGTAGAGTAGTACAGTTGAACATCCTTTCTTCTACATCTGCTTCTTTCTCCTACCCCACTAGGGCTTTTTGTGAATGGCTTTACATGTCATACTCAAGTGCAGGATTTGAGAGTTGAGTTTGACGGTCTATTTAAGGTAACATGGTATGAGTGGAGAAAGCACTGGCTCTAGCATAGTTAGGATTAAGTAAGTTAAGGTATATTCAACACATGATAATTAGTACATTTTTTGAATGTGTTGAGTGAGGATCTTTTTTATCTCCGTAGGGTGGACAGAAATAAGTATCAGATTCACATTCCGCTGCCTCCCAAGATTGACCCAACAGTTACCATGATGCAGGTAAGAAAATATGGGAGGGAAAAGGAATGGCATGACTTTGAATACAGTTGCATCCATCTCACAGAATTTTGAAACTTTGACTTGTAAACTATCACTATGTGGGCGTATACTGAAGAATTACAAAAACGTTCTGAACAATTTTTCAGATGAGAACGTTTTTATCAGTCTTACTGGTTTGTCTCTTTCACTTAGTGTCATAGCAAGTAGTATTGCAAGTGGTTCTAGGACACTGGACAGTGTCTTCCATTTTTATGGAATTCTTACTTGCTGTGAGTCTGATTTTTCTTTTAGGGTATTGGGTTTGCTCTACTGGATAGAACATTTGAACTCGTATTCAAAAGCCTGTGGCTATCTGTTACACATTTTCATCCTTCTTTTAGGTGGAAGAAAAACCTGATGTCACATACAGTGATGTGGGTGGCTGTAAGGAACAGATTGAAAAACTTCGAGAAGTAGTAGAAACCCCATTACTTCATGTAAGTGGCTGAGTCTGTGCACTAGTTATCTGTTATTAGATAGCTTTACAAATTTTATATTTTCTTTAGTGAAAACTTCTGAGGGGGTAGAGGATAGAGGTGTGGTGGGTTGGTACGTTCCAGGAGAGAAGAGGAAGCAAAGGATTGATCGGTCAGACCTAGTCAAAACCAGATCTGCTCTCTGGAGTGACAGAGGCTGACGTATAACCTTCAGCAATATGGTAAATGTGTTACAAGTTACTGTAGAAGAAACCACATGTTTTAATGATACCAAGAGGATGTCGGCTTAAATTGAGTCAAATTAAGCTTGGGAGGATAATGGAAAACTAGGATAATACTTTTGTTTTTTAAAACACTATGATTTTTTTAAATCAGTGGGAAAATGTTTTGTTAAGCCTGGATAAGAGAATCACCTTTAAAAGCCATTCAGTATTACGTGTCTTAGAATAAGCAAAAGTCTTACTTAGATCAAGTATGTAGGTTGTGCACTTAATAATTTTGGTTTAAATATCATGATACTACAGATATGATACCGAAATAGTTCTGTGTTTATCACACAGAAGTGATAAGTGTAAAAATCATGTCTCCCACCACAGCCAGAGAGGTTTGTTAACCTTGGCATTGAGCCTCCCAAGGGTGTGCTGCTCTTTGGTCCACCGGGTACAGGCAAGACCCTCTGTGCTCGGGCAGTTGCCAACAGGACTGACGCTTGCTTCATTCGAGTTATTGGATCTGAACTTGTACAGAAGTATGTCGGTGAGGTAAAGTACATTGATCAGAATCAAATAATATGTAGCCCTGTGAAAGCAGTTCCATGTTGAAGGATTCAGACTTGAAATTTCTTGACTGATGGATTGTAATTAGTAGTTCAGAAGCCACCAGCCTTCCCTTGGTCACTGGAAACAAACAACTGCCTGCAACTTTTAATCATTATGCTCCCTTTTCAAAAGGATGAGCTTTTCTACAGATTTGGTTTCTAAGACCCCGGAAATACAGTGAATGCATTCAAAAGTGTACTTTCATTTCAAGGGCAGCGTTTCATATTCTATTGAGAAAGAGAACATAATCGTCTGTATATGTGCGAGGGTATATACACATGCACGCACGTATACATTTGATGTATTTTTTCATTAGAGTTAAGTCTAGGGCTGTGTATATCAATCTGAAACATTAATGATTAGTATACTTTTTTTTTAATTTAAAGATTTTATTTATTTGACAGAGAGAGACACAGTGAGAGAGGGAACACAAGCAGGGGGAGTGGGAGAGGGAGAAGCAGGCTTCCCGCAGAGCAGGGAGCCCGATGCGGGGCTCGATCCCAGGATCCTGGGATTGTGGCCCGAGCCGAAGGCAGACGCTTAACGACTGAGCCACCCAGGCGCCCCAATGATTAGTATACTTAGAAAAAGACTTAGTAAAGGAGCTGCATGAGTTAAAATATACTTCTATTCCTTGATCAAAACTTAAAAAGCAGGGGTGCCTAAGGTGGCTCAGTCGGTTAAGCATCTGCCTTCTGCTCGGGTCATGATCCCAAGGTCCTGGGATCGAGCCCCGCATCGGGCTCCTTGCTCAGTGGGGAGCCTGCTTCTCTCTCTGCCGCCCCCCCGCTTGTTCTCTCAAATAAATAAATAAAATCTTTAAGAAAAAAAAAATTACAAAGCAAAATCAGTGATCAGAAATGCCAAGTGATAAATCAGATGCTTTCTTTCATTTCCTCAATTTTAACTGATTGAAAATGGTGCCTTTATTCAAGTGTTCATTTGACCTCTTCAGGTTTTGAAGTATTGGCTATTTAATAGATATAGCATTGTGAAATTAATACTGTTTTGAGGCTGAGATTGATGGAATAGGTAACAAACTTCAGTTTTTTTGAAAAAGCTTTAGGTATTATTAATACTTGAGAATACTGTTAGGAATAGTGAAAATTTTGTTTAAAAAATGTTTTAAACCAACTCTGAATTATTTTTCTCATTAGGGGGCTCGAATGGTTCGTGAGCTCTTTGAAATGGCCAGAACAAAAAAAGCCTGCCTTATCTTCTTTGATGAAATTGATGCTATTGGAGGTATGAGTGGTATTTTAGAGAACTACTTTAGGATTGGTTTTTTTTTTTCCTTAAGATTTTGATTTTTATTTCTCTTCAATTTTTTTCCATTGTTCAGTGATTTTTTTTATATTATATTATTTTTATTTTTTATTATTGGTTTTCATGAGCCTTCTAAAGTAATATGTGTAGAGTTCTCTTGATATGTTAATCTTGTACAAAATTCTAATTCCGGCTCTTCTTCCTATGAGCTCTGGCATGTCTGAGCTACAGATCTAATAAACAATAGAGATACATTGTAAAGGAAAAAAAATATTATAGAGCATTGCTATTTCTCAAAGTCTTTATCTTTGTACTTTCCTAATTTCATTCACATGGCACATGTTTTCACACTTTAACAACTCCTAACTTGGGGTATAGCTTCACTTGATGTAATAAGAAAGCATTGGGGCATAATTTAGTTGGTGGTGGTTTTTCATAAAGTATACATAAAATGATGTTATTGTTGGCTTCATAGATTTGATGAAATACAGTATTAGCTGTGCGATCTAGACAGGTTATTCCAACTCTGAGCCTCTGTTTGCTTACCTTATAAAGGGAATGATAATTCCTGCCTTGTTTATTTCATGGGTTTTTGAGAGATTTAAAGTAAATCATAAGGGTGTTTGGGGGGCTTAGTTGGTTAAGTATCCAACTCTTGATCTCAGTTCAGGTCTTGATAACAGGGTTGTGAGTTCAAGCCTCACATTGGGCTCCACGCTGGGGTAGAGCCTACCTAAAAAAAAAAAGTTAAGTAATAAATGAGATAGACCTTGAAAACGCAACTGTTCTGTAGGCCTGGACTATTGTAACAGTTTATGAGAGTAATAATTCATTTATTTTTAGGAGAGGGGAAGGGCAGAGGGAGAGGGAGACTGACACAGGGCTCAGTATCACAACCCTGAGATCATGACCTGAGCTGAAATCAAGAGTTGGACGCTCAACTGACTGAGCCACCCAGGCGCCCCGGGAGTAATAATTCTTAATAGCTCAAGAGAAGTCATATGTTCAGATAGTTATTTAATGAACTTCGTGGCAAAAATGACTTGAAAACATAGTGCACCCCGTAATGCTCTTTGGGGACTGCAGTTAGGTTACCTAGGGTCTTGTTTTTAGACTGGATGGGTGTTGTTGGGTTTGGACATTCTGTGGTTAATGTCTTGGAGGGACATAATGTGTGACCACAGTGTATCGGTGTAGTGTTGTGACTCTAAAGTTATTTGTATGGTATCTTTGGAATAAGCCTTATGATGACGTCAGGTTGCTCTGAAGCTGTGGCTTCCAAAGTACACTGTGTATAAAGTAGTATTAGGGTACAAGAAGACAATCTAGAATTTTTCTTTGTATTTTTAATCTCACTTAAAAAATTTTCCGATTTTTTTTTTAATGTACATAATACATCAATATAATCATATGTATTTATACAACTTAAAAGTGAAAAATAGATGTTTGGAGACCTTTTTTTTTTTTTTTTGCTATTTTGGTTGAAATGAGAGATTGACATTAAGCTAGAATATTCTAATACATCTAAATTAGTGTGATAGTAAGCTGTTACAGTTCTACTGTATTATGGATTTAGCCATATTTTTAAGGAAAGTTTTTGAGAAACTTCGAGGAATATGACTGTTTCTTAACGTACAGACACCACTGTAGCACTCAAGTCCGCATGTATTACTGTTTCCTAGTCCAGATGTATATTGTGCTAAAAATGGAGGTGTTCTTGAGCGATTTAAAAAACAAAATTCCTAAAAGAGGTTTAAAAAGAATACTTTAACGGAGCCTTTGTTAAATAAATCTGTGATGAGTCCTTTTGAAAGATTCACTTTCTAATCAGTTTTGTGTAAAGGAGGCTGTTTTTAGAGAGTGTGCCTCACAAGGAGATGCCCGCTTGCGCTGGAGCACCTGACTTGAGCGGAGATGGTACTTCGAGTTACTCATCGTGTGCTCCTGAGTGGACGTGAAGAGCTTATTTTTCCTTTTGTCTTCTCAGGGGCTCGTTTTGATGATGGTGCTGGAGGAGACAATGAAGTGCAGAGAACGATGCTGGAACTGATCAATCAGCTGGACGGTTTTGATCCTCGAGGTAACATTAAAGTGCTGATGGCCACTAACAGACCTGATACTTTGGATCCAGCACTGATGAGGCCAGGGAGATTGGACAGAAAGATTGAATTTAGCTTACCTGATCTAGAGGTAAGAAAATCATTTCATTTTAGAGAGGTCAAGAATCCCTTCGCTTGAAATTTTTTCTTCCCATGATGTTTTTCTATTTTAATATTTATCAATTCCCCCATTTTTAGGGTCGGACTCACATTTTTAAGATTCATGCTCGTTCAATGAGTGTTGAAAGAGATATCAGATTTGAGTTGTTAGCACGACTGTGTCCAAATAGCACTGGTAGGTTGAAAGGTCTTGTTTATTGTATTTGCTGGTCTGTCTTTTCAGGCTGCTTTAATAAGCCTGTTTTCTTTTTGTTTGAAAGGTGCTGAGATTAGAAGCGTCTGCACAGAAGCTGGTATGTTTGCCATCAGAGCACGGCGAAAAATTGCTACTGAAAAGGATTTCTTGGAGGCTGTAAATAAGGTCATTAAGTCTTATGCCAAATTCAGTGCTACTCCCCGCTATATGACATACAACTGATCCCCGAAGGCTTTCATGAAAACACCTCTTTTCATTGGAATCCTAACTTTATTAAATAGACTTGTTAATAACCATTACACACACAAAAATAAAGCATTTCAAAATTGTATGTTTTCTTCAGATGTCTATTCTCTGTAGTACAATAAAAGGTGATATCTAATGTCATCAGGCAGAAAAGCTTATTATGATGTATATTGATTGTTTTGATCAGTACCATTTAAGCGTCCCATATCATAAAGTGCTTGCTTAGAACATGTACATTCTAGGTATATGCTGGCTGGGTGCCAATGGTATCCTCCCATCTGCCCAGTGAGGTGGAGCTAATGCATCTTGGTGTAATGCATGCAAAAACTTTCCTACTTACTATACTTGCAGCAGAGCTGGGATTCAAGTCCAAGTTTGTCAGCCCTGTACCTGTGTTCCTCCCGTTCATGCTCTTCTGCCCCTCCTCAAAACAGCCCATCTAGGCACAGGACCACGTGTTTTAATGTTTTTTTATTTTTTTCCTACCACATTGACTAACAAAGCTTTGGCTAAACTTTTTTTTAAAAGTGGAAGAAGCCTCTGATGTATTAGGTTTTGCTTTGTCATTTGAGTTGATTTCAAGTTAATCAAGAAGAATTAGTGACTTTAATGACCAGTGAAGTAGCAAAGCAGAAAGAAAAATATATACATAATATTCTAATTTAGAAAATCCAGAATTGGTTTCATACAGAGAAGTACTTATTTTCATTTTATAAATTAATGGTTTAAAATTTTGGTAAAGCTCCTGTTAGACTTCTGGTGAAGTGAGGTATTTCTAAAAATAAAGTTGTATTGGGATCCTCAGCAGATCTCTCTAAAATTATTTCTTGTGCAGCCCCCATCACCAAATCCCCTCCCACCTTGCACCACCATTAGCCTCCCCGCCTAAATACTGAGATCCAAGCACAATAAAGAATGTTTTTATTGCAGTTCAGTATTCATAAGTAATGCAAAATAGCAAGAACTGGATATGTTTTAATTCACAGAAAAAAAGTTGACAGCATAGAAAGTGCTTTATATGTTGTATTGAAATATTTAAAATATGAAAGTTTTCAAAGAGAAGAACAAAAGCCCTTTGTTCATAAAATCCAACCAGCATGCTTTGCTTTCTTCATTTTTCTTTTTTGTGAAATGGATCAGAACATTTTTCCTAAGCCTGCCCTGGTCTTTCATGAGGTATGAAACAGAGTGAGCCCTTTCCAGGTGTTAGGCTAATAACAAAATATACTCGAATGAAGATGTATGTTTTTGTAATGTTTTAATAAACATAAGCATTTACGTCACACTCTGAAGTCTTACCAAGTTTTTCAGAGCTACAATAGTAGTATCATATGCATCAATGTGGGATTACTCAAACTGGCTATGTTGAGCTCACTCAGGCCTAACATGTTACAGGCTCTGGAGAATCTTAACATCTCAGTTACATGGTGAAAACTTAATGTCACACATCAAATTGACAATTATTTGAAAAATTGGGGTGTTTCTGTCCAATAGTGTTAACCCTATCTAGATTAGTATCTTCGTACCCTATTTTAAAAGAAAATGAACACACATTCACCGGTAACCCCCTCCACCTAATACATGCACATGTGCGTCCGTATGCATGTGTATGGACACACATGTATGTTCTATATATATCAGGGTGCTGATAAGTCAGAATACAAAGAGTTGATGACTTTAGAAAAATATGTCGTGATCTTTAAAAAATACTTTCTATAAACATTTTTAAAAATGCGATTGGATTTATAAAAACTTAATTTCCACAAAGCTCAGGCTTATCCGTTACATAAAGTGAAATGAAAAGCTTGGTATGCCTTTTTCTCAAAGGCAAGATAGATTTTTGAGATGCTCAAACTTGATTAAATCCAAGTCAGTAAGCCAGCAGGTTACCTGCTACAATGCTAAGCTTTTTGAACATTCTATTGTTGGTATTTGAGGGGTTTCAAAGCCCGTCTCATGAATTTTGGTTGGCTATATGGAGAATTAAGGCAGTACTTTTTACCCGTTCTCAAACCAGCTCTTATCAACACTCAAACCATATTATCAAAAATCTAAACATACTGAATCCTAAAAGCATTTCTGAATGATACACTAAAACAGACCAACAGCATTTTTACACTCAAAGCACACACAGGCTCACACCAAAGACATTTTATTTGATTTTTAAAATTTAAATTGATTGACTGCCTTTAAAGGGGCAGACATAATAGATAAAGCCTTCCCTACCATATACCCTCCTTCCCTCTCCATCAGCCTCTCATGAAGGCATATGCCACCCACACCCCCAAAACAGAAAAACACACCTACCCACTCCAGGGCAGGTTCTGTGCGTCTGTTACCCTCTCCTTCATGCACACGTGAGGGCAGACTCATTTTCTCAAAATGTCCCTTTGGAGGCAGGCACCTCCTTTCTCTGTTGAACAGTTAAGAATAAAGGATCAAACCACATGGAATGAATATTTTTAGATGTTACCTGAAAACTATAAAATGAGCTACTCCCAGGGCTTGCAGAGGATTCCTATCCTGTCTTCTCTGAGTCCCACTGCAGATGAGACTGGCAAATGGGATCCCAGTATAAGCTGCCATACAATTATATAGTCAATGTCTGTGACATGAGTTAGTTCGCGATCCTTTTTTCTTTTCTTTTTTTTTTTTAAAGATTTTATTTATTTATTTGACAGAGAAAGACACAGCGAGGGAGGGAACACAAGCAGGGGGAGTGGGAGACGGTGAAGCAGGCTTCCCCCGGAGCAGGGAGCCCGATGCGGGGCTCGATCCCAGGACCCTGGGATCATGACCCGAGCCGAAGGCAGACGCTTAATGACTGAGCCACCCAGGTGCCCCAAGTTTGCAATTATTTTCAAACATACTCTGTCTACCCATGAGGCAGAAATCACCCACTGTTATGTTGTGTAGGATTTTAGAAAGACAAAGGACTTCTCTATGTGGGACCCTTCCTGAAGACAGGGCTTTCCCATATTGCCTTAAAATAAGACTAACCAAGTCCCGGTATCTATCATTGTGGATTATGCCCATTTTGACAGGGAATTAAGAATGAATTTGAACCAGTGCTGAGAAACATAGGAAGCATATATTAATAGCTATTAAGGTCCAGAAAGAAGAACATAGAGACATACTTCAAGTAAAAAAGGTCAGGAAATTTTCCACCATATTAAATAAAGTAAAACATTCCAGCATATTTACATATAGATAAAACATTTTGAAATGTACTCTTACTTTCTCAGAGACATGCTAAAACAAAAACAAGATTTCCTTTCAGTAAGACTTAAGTGTTTTTTATGTACATGGTTAACAGAAAAGTTAAAAACAGCTCTGTTGGATACAGATAAATACTATTTTTGTACACTACTTTCAAATCTACCAACAACTAGGACATGGGTATCTACTATGTGTAAAGCATTTGTGGAAGAGGGGTGCTAAAGTAGATGCAATGAAGTATTTTATGACATTGTTTAAAATCCTTAAGCTCTGCTTCAGTGGCTGAAATGGTGCAGGCCCTTTTACAAAAGTTTCCACTAAAGCTGAGCTTCTACAGCTAAGTGCTCTTTCAGAAGGCAGGCTGTATCAGGATGCAGATGTATCTGATCTTGTATGTGGTGACTGCAAACGAGGTAACTGGATGCGATTCTGATTTCACTCTAGATCTACATTAAGTACTGATTAGAAAGGAGGGGTCTACTTTGAATTAAATTAGTAAAGTCACTGAGAAACCCAATAGTTAAAGCAAGCAAACTGTAGGGTTTGGCTGGAGCAGACCCATGCTAACGTAGTTCTTTCCTAGGATCTGACCACTTTCCTCCTGGCAATGTTTTCTTCATGAAAACTAAAACAAGAAGTCAATAAGAAAACATACTTTAAAAACTGACAGTTAGGGGCACCTGGGTGGCTCAGTTGGTTAAGTGTCACGATCCCGGGGTCCTGGGATCAAGCCCCGCATGGGGCTCCCTATTGAAGGCAGGAACCTGCTTCTCTTTTTCCCTCTGCTCTTCCCCCCAGCTTGTGCTCTCACTCTCTCTCTCAAATAAAATCTTTTTTTAAAAAAACCTGATTATTAGGAAATCTCAGCAGAGGAGGCTTTAGGCATACTTGTGCTTTGATTTGGAATAAAGTGGTAGTTGGAACTACAAGAGTAAGACCTTTTGATGACAAATTGGCTTAAAGTTCTCCCCCACTCCTTTTGAACAACTATAAAGTCCTTGAAATAGGCATTTTACTCACTTATAGGCTTAACTCTGGGTTTGATGAAGAATTAACTGATAACTCTTATGGACTTCCAAGGAAGATATTAAATTATACCTAGGAGTTACCTTTCTTAAATACATGGCTTTAAGGTTACTTTACTATTAGCAACAACAAAACTTCTGGTCACAGTTGTGACAATCTGAACACCAAAAAGAATAATTATAATGGACTGAAGAACATTAAAACTACAAAAATTCACGAGCCTATAATTACACGAAAAAAAGAGCTTTAAAAGAACCTAATTTGTCATCATCTGTTAAACCAACTCCTTACTTTGAAGTTGATAATTAAATTGAAAAAATAAAACATTTAACCTGCCTTTCCAGTAAGAGATGTATTTAAGGATGACAAAATAGCTCAAGTGGAGGAGGGATAGTTGTAGTTTACAAAGAAACATCAACTAATAAATGCTGAAGAAATGAGAGAAATGGAAAAAAAATCACAAATCTTAATAAAATTATTGACTTAGGCAAGGATGTTAAAACCCCTGGGTGAATGGCTAATGGGAAACTGGGCATTCATTCAATGCCAAAGGCATACCATATAGGTAACTCAGTAGTCACAAAGGAGAAAACATAACTGGGGGGTTAGGCTGTCCTGTTAATCCAGTGATCCACCTTAGCATCGTTCATTAATGGTAGGGCAACTAAATATTTGTTTTCTGATGTGATGAGCTTTGAAGCATGTGTCTCATCTATGATATATTCTAGCAAAAACAATGTTTTATTTCAATCCATGAAACTTTTAGATATAACTTCTAGATTACAGGCAGTTCAGGAAATAAAGGGATAAGAGAAATAATACCTTGAAAAAACAAAACGGGATTCTACAGGACAACTGCCCCCGTCCCTTTAAACAACTTAGTGTCATAAAAGGGACTGTGCTGGATTAAGATGGACTTAAGGGACTTGAAGAGACAGGACCAGTTGTAGCATTAGGTCACAGAATGGATACTAGTTTGGACAGACCAACTACAAATTTGAGGACGATGGGAAATTTGAAGTAGGTCTGAGGTGAAAGTATTCCGGAATGAGAAAGCAAGGATTATTGACTGAAAACAATGGATTACAGAACACTACGTTGAAAATGATCTTCCTTTGATTAAAAGATGAAAATACATATGAACAGAAAAAGATGTGGAAGGAAGTATATTAAAGTGTTAGTGATAATCTTTGAGTGGTAGCAAAATAATGTGTTTCTTTTCTTCTGTTTCTTCTAATTTTTCGATTGTTCTTTAATAATAAAAGGTTACTTTAAGAGAACTTCTAGAAAATTGTGGGTTTGCTCCTTCTGTTAGATAACTCTGGTTACAAAAATCCTGTAAATCAAGTACAAGAACAAGAGCCACTACCCACCTGGGGACAGCATTTCTGATTTGTAGGTAAAGTACTTAAAGGAAATAACTTCTTAAATGCTCGGCTTATAAAGGTAATACTAAAGAGTAACAGAAATGTCACTGCCCAAAAAATGAACTATTGGGACTTCATCAAGATAAAAAGCTTCTGCACAGCAAAGGAAATGGTCAACAAAACTAAAAGGCAACCTACAGAATGGGAGAAGATATTTGCAAATGACATATCAGATAAAGAGTTGGTATTTAAGATCGATAAAGAACTTCTCAAACTCAACACCCAAAAAACAAATAATCCAGTCAAGAAATGGGCAGAAGACATGAACAGACACTTCTCCAAAGAAGACATACAAATGGCTAACAGACGCATGAAAAAATGCTCCACATCACTTGTCATCAGGGCAATACAAATCAAAACCGCAATGAGATACCACCTCACACCAGTCAGAATGGCTAAAATGAACAAGACAGGGAACAACAAATGTTGGTGAGGATGTGGAGAAAGGGGAACCCTCTTACACTGTTGGTGGGAATGCAAGCTGGTACAGCCACTCTGGAAAACAGTAGGGAGGTTCTTCAAGATGTTAAAAATAGAGCTACCTTATGACTCAGGAATTGCACTACTGGGTATTTATCCCAAAGATGCAGATGTAGTGAAAAGAAAGGGCACATGCATCCCAATGTTCATAGCAGCAATGTCCACAATAGCTAAACTGTGGAAGGAGCTGAGATGCCCTTCAACAGATGAATGGATAAAGAAGATGTGGTTCATATATACAGTGGAATATTACTCAGCCATCAGAGAGGATGAATACCCACTATTTGCATCAACATGGATGGAACTGCAGGGTATTATGCTAAGTGAAATAAGTCAAGCAGAGAAAGATAATTATCATATGGTTGCACTCATATGTGGAACATAAGAAATAGCTCGGAGGACCACAGGGGAAGGGAGGGAAAATTAAATGGGAAGAAATCAGAGAGGGAGATAAACCACGACAGACTCTTAACTCTGGCGAAACAAGCTGAGGGTTGCAGAAGGTGAGGGGGGGGGGGGGATGGGGTAACTGGGTGATGGGCATTAAGGAGGGCATGTAATGTGATGAGCACAACTAGTGAATCACTGAACACTACATCAAAAACGAATGATGTACTATATGTTGGCTAATTGAATTTAAATTTAAAAAAGTCACTGCACAAGAAATGCAGGCAAGAGGACAGTCTATCTTTGAAATATTCAATAAAAAAAAAAACACAAGTGAGATACATCTTGCTATGTGTCATTCACTCTCCAAATCAAGCCTTGACTACTAGTATTGACCCTTAGGGAAAAAAAATCTAGTGTCTAGACTTAAACTGTGTAACAGTGAGTGAGTTCACTAGAGACGCATACCCCATCCCAGCTGAGTTCTTCATCTATGCTTCTGGAGTGGCATTGGGCTCTGAGTCCTCCCGGGGAGGGAGAGCTGAGGCGTCTTGCCCAACAAGCGCTTCCCGAAGCTGGCTGCCTAACACTGCATCGTGGATGCTGTGGAACAGCAGCTCCTTCAAGGCAGGATTTTCAAAAAATCGATTTTGAGTGAGGTCGTTTACAACTTGTGCTACAAAAGAAGAAAGGAAAATCAGTCCACACTCTGGGTATCAGTCTTGAACATTAAAAAAATTAGCACTCTTATATAGCTTAAATACTATAATGACAAAGTGTCACTTCAATCCCGTCCCCACAATGTCATACCCTAGTAGTAGTAGGAAACTATTTTCTGTTTTTTTTTAATTTCAACTTTTTAATTCAAGTTTTTGTTTAAATTCTAGATCCCATATATGGTAAACCTGGTTTCAGGAGTAGAATATAGTGATTCATCACTTACATATAACACCCAGTGCTCATCCCAACAAGTGCCCTCCTTAATGCCCATCACCCAATTACTCCATTACTCTGGATTTTGTTTGTACTTAATTTTTTTTTACCACTACATGATATTCTATTGTGTGGATGTACCCAATTTATTTAACTGGTCCCTTTTCTTTGACATTTTTTCCAGTCTTTTGTTTTATAGACAGTAACCAGTTTCTGCAACTGCTTATAGATGGTCAACCACGTATGTGTGTCATTTTGAGTATACGCAGCACGTTGCTGGACTTGCTGGGTTAAAGGGTAAAGTGCATTTGTAATTGGGAACGATAATGCCGCTCTGCCCTCCACTGAGGCTGTTCCATTTTGCATTCCCACCAGCAATGTTGGAGAGTCCCTGTTCTCTCACAGTGTGCCTACGGAGCCTGCTGTCAGACGTTTCTCCTTTTTGCCATCCTGGCAGGTGAAAAGCGATGCCTTTATGTAGATTCCATTTTCAGGCACTGTTTCAACCAAAATTTGTTATAAAGCAAAAATAGCAGGCGTTGTCATGGAAAAACCTAAATGATTGTATAGAACTATGTTTAGGGCTGCCATTAAATAATTACTAAAAAATGTACCAGCTCAGAACAATGGTTTATAAGCTCCTTCCCTCAAAGTCCAGGTCAGGAGGCCTGCCACAATAGCCCAGGGACAGGGGTGCCTGTGAGTGACTAATTTCAAAGCTAGCTTCAGAGTGATTTTCAGAAGAATGATTTTCATTTTTTCCCTTCCCTTCCTGAATAATTTTCATTTCTGCCAGAAACTAAAATTAAGGGAAAATATTTCCAAACTTTTAAAAAGTTATTAAAAAAGAAAGAAACGAAACCAAAATGTTAAAACTTCTCCCCATTCTAGAAGTGTACTCACCGCTGCATCCTGCTAAATACACATAAATACCGACATCTCCATATTCTTTTACAATCTGTAATAATGTTGAAATAAAGTTTAGTTTCTCTCGACTCTGGGCCCAAGGCAAGTCTCTTTCTACCAGTATCTATTTAGTGACACAAGAGGCTAGTGCATTTACCTGAGCTACTTCACTTCAATAATTATGCATTTTGAACTAATTGCTTAAAACTAATTTGTATTTCTCTTAATTTTTATATGGACAGTGATAATGAGGCCATCAAAGAATTCCTGTTGAATTTTGGGTTATGGTACTGATTGGTAAAAGAATCTTCTCCTTGTAGAACTATACCCTGAAATATTCACAAAGAGGCAATGGCTGGGATGTGCTTTCGGGTCAGAGAAGGGGACGGCGGGAAGGCAGACGGTGGATGACACAGGACTGCCCACAGGCTGATGAGCTGTTACAGTGGGGCGGTGCTTACACAGGGATTCATTACACTGTGCTCTTTACTCTGGTACGGTTTTGAAGTTTTCCACAATCAAAAGTTGAAAAAAAAAAAAACACCAAAAAAAGGGAGAATTTTAAGAGTTGAGAAGGGGACCCTAGTTCAACTCTTTGATTTTACTGATGGCACAGAGCTATGAAACGACTCATAAGATGATGCTTACCCCAGCCAGGGTTTTCACGCCAACAGAGTCAATAAAGTTGACTTGCGTAAAGTCCAGAATGACGGTGTGGATGTTATCCCCCGGGGGCATAAATCTTTGCAGTTCCTCAGGGACTGTGCTCTTGATGACTATCGGGGGATATTTTACTTCATCATCTTCTTCTTCAGGCTTCGTGGCATCTTCTCCATCTACTTCTGCATCCTGTCAATGGGTAAACCAAACCAGAAGCCTATGAACAGCGCACATGTTGGTTCTGAGAAAGATTTTTTTTTCTTAAAGATTTTATTTATTTATTTGAGAGAGAGTGAGAGAGAGAGAGCGAGCATGAGCAGGGGGAGGGTCAGAGGGAGAAGCAGGCTCCCCGCTGAGCAGGGAGCCCAACACAGGGCTCAATCCCAAGACCCCGGGATCATGACTTGAGCCGAAGGCAGATGCTTGACAACTGAGCCACCCAGGCGCCCCTGAGAAAGATTTATAAGGGAAAATTAGTTCCCATACTCTCAAACTACTGACTCCACCAGACTCTTCTAAAATATCTGCCATATCCCCACCTTGTAATGTGACAGAAAAAGGATGTGTTCATAATATTCAGTTTTAGCTCAGTTTCTTTTCTTCTTCCTCTTGTTTTTGTCCAATAAAATCCACTCTCCTTAGTCATCATATCCAATTTCTCCTCACTTCTAAAACCATTCCGTTAACTTCAGCACGGCCACAAGTTACCATAAGCTTGAACAGCAAAATCCAGCCTGAGGTTTTTTTGTTTTGGTTTTTCACTATCAGCTGAATGAATCTATGACAAAGTACCCATGGTACAAGTACAATTTATTAAGGTACTACTGTGTGATCTTTATTTTTTTCTTTTAAACAATGTTTTCTGGGGCTCATATCCCTAATTTTTTCAGAAGCATTCTCATAACTGACCTTATCATGTATCTTTAATATATAAAGGATACTTCGACTGTTTCTAAGCTTTCCTATTTTAGGGGCTTCCTGCTGTGTTAAGACTTCAATCATGCATGAAGGTGGGGGGCGGTGCGGAGGCTCTTCAGCTACAGTGAAGAGACGACTCACCACTTTGACAACGGTTGCGTTGGCCACATTTGCATTTCCAACTTCCTTAGCATACTTCTTCATGGCCTTTCTTCTTGCTCCCATTATGAATGCTGGGTTCACTCCAGTCTTTATAGAAGAGCAATACACGCAAAATCACTTCTTGGCACCCAGAAACCCACCCAAATGCAGTAAATCTTCCAATCTCCCCCATTGGACTGTTTTCAATACCAAGTTATCACCCCACCTCTTGCTCTACCCTCAGGCACCCTGAGCTGAGTTACTCCCTCATTAAAGGAACGGGAGTAACTCTTCTTATTCTTATGTGCATTCAGCAGGATGCAGCAGTGAATACACTAAAGTATCAGAGAGAATATTTAAAGGAGTATTTTTCAAATGTACTCTCAGATTCTTATATTTAAGAGACTCTGTGGGTTGATTGGCAGGTTTTCTTATAAACTGGGCGGTGTGGATCCAGTTTTAATCATGACCAAAGGAACCCACATGATCTGAAGAGTGAGACACCTAAAATTATTTTTTCACTCTTTCTTAAAAATCTTTTGAAAAGGTAATATGTGCACATGAGAAAAGCGAATGACTAGTGGTGTGAGTGGTGCTGGTTGCACAACAATGTGGACGTACTTCATTCATCTGCTGAATGGTAAATTTACTGAAAATGATAAATTTTATGTATTTTACCAAGGGGGAGAAAATGAAATAGTATAAAAGGTATATCAAGACATTAAGTGTCCCTCACATTCCCGTCAATCCACAGGTCCCCTCAAAAATCATCAATTTCTTGTGACTCACCTTTCTTTTCAAAGCACTGCTATACAAGTCGCTATTTGCATAATAAATTGGGGCATTTATTTGGAATATTTTTATTCCAGGAATTTCTTTCACCTGAGAAATAAAATGTTAGTGAATTTAACACATGAAAATATTTCAGAGTCCAAACTGCACCCGCCTCCCTCCTCAAACCTGAAAATCAACGCAGAAGTCACTAAAGGCCCTCCTATGGTGTTTAGATAAAATTCTGTCACTCTAGCCTACCAACTAGTGCCCTGGAGGAAGGAGGTCTGAGAAGAAAGCATTTAATATGCACATCTTCACATTTCTTTTAAAAGTCTTTGTTTCATATTCACCATAAAACACAAAGAAGGAACCGAAAACTTACAAACAGAGATAAGAAAACGGATAGGGAGGGGAGGCTGCCCCTCAGACCATGAAGAACAGGCAGATGGAGTGAAGAGAGGTTATGTTGGTTGGTTCCTGGAATGCAGGCAGGAGCTGAAACAGACCCAAGTTCCACAGAGTGAATGTTTTACCCAGAAGCCTTAAGGAACTTTAGAATGCAGTTTGGAAGTGACAAACCCAGCACATAATTCTATAGAAGGAGGAAAAATGAACAATCCTAATACAAGTCTCATTTCCCAGTACTTACAGTGAATCTGAGAATTGCTTCCCAAACATAAGGCAAATCAAAGAGACTAAGCTAATTTTTTTTTTTTTGAGAAAAATTCGTGTGTGTGTGTGTGTGTGTGTGTGTGTGTGTGTTCCAATAAAACTTTATTTAGGGGGGCACCCAGGTGGCTCAGGCAGTTAAGTGTCTGACTCCTTTTTTTTTTTTAATTAACATATAATGTATTATTTGTTTCAGGGGTACAGGTCTGTGATTCATCAGTCTTACAAGACGAAGCTAATTTTAAAAGGTTTTGTACAAGTCTTCCAGATGCCCCCTCAGGATATTCAAAATCAAGGGAATTTGAAGGCATAAAATCACGCAAGTACAAACCATCCTCTCAGTTTCAGTATTTGGTAAATATATACTTTAATTCCAGGAATATCTATTTATCCCTATTGAAGAAAGGGGAAAAGTAAATATTAGGAGGTTGAGTGATTAATGTAAAGTATAAACTCTAAAAGTGAATACAGACAGTAAATTCTAGTTCAGGCTTCTCATTCTGACTGCAACACCTCCCTCCTTTTCAGCCCCACTTTTTGTCCTGTGTAAAAAAGGTAGTCAGCTGATCCCATGACAAACTTACAACCATTTATTATTTATTTATTTTTAAAAGATTTTATTTATTTGATAGAGACACAGCGAGAGAGGGAACACAAGCAGGGGGAGAGGGAGAAGCAGGCTTCCCGCGGAGCAGGGAGCCCGATGCGGGGCTCGATCCCAGGACCCTGGGACCATGACCTGAGCCGAAGGCAGACGCTTAATGACTGAGCCACCCAGGCGCCCCTATTTTTTTATTTTTTAAAAGATTTTATTTATTTGGCTTACCACCATTTAAAATGAGAAAAAAGTCCTACCTCTTCATATGCATCTATATCGATATACACATCTGTGTCAGGAAGCTGTCCAAGGACTTTGTAGCTGGGACTAAAGACAGAGGGACAGGGTGTTAAAATACCATTGTTTTGAGGCCCAGTATGTGATTTAAACAGGAGGTTTTGCGTGTTTACGTATGGACTTGCTAGTGAATTCAGGAATACGTGATCCTTATAGGGAACATTTGCAGAGGCCTTCACATGGATCACATTCCCAGGGCCATTCCTGGCACATGCCCACACCCTGTCCCAAACATACATGACTCACACATCCACATACTCTTCATGCATGCACACACACATGCATGCACACACATGCACACCACATAACCTAGTCAGGACAAAAGACTCAGGCATTTAAAAATGGGGGCAAAAGTGAATGTTGCGGAGTTCAAGCCATGCCAAGGAATGTGTAATTCTAATTCTCATCCACTCAATAGAACTGTCTTCCTACTCTTATTCAAAAGCAGGGGAGGAGATTTTCTTTTGGTTTCTAGTAAGAGGCTCTGACTCCTGGGGGTGGTAGTCAACTGAAGGTGTGGGAAGAAAACAAACAACAAAAATCTTATTAGCATAGAAGTTTTCTTAAGTTTGGTTTGAATAGATTTTATTTTATTATTATTTTTAAAGATTTTATTTATTTATTTGACAGAGAGAGACACAGCGAGAGAGGGAACACAAGCAGGGGGAGTGGGAGAGGGAGAAGCAGGCTTTCGGCTGAGCAGGGAGCCCGATGCGGGGCTCGATCCCAGGACCGTGGGACCACGGCCTGAGCCGAAGGCAGACGCTTAATGACTGAGCCACCCAGGCGCCCCAGTTTGAATAGATTTTAAACGTTATTTTTCGAGAGCCTGCCTCTTTTTAGAGGACAATCTGGCTCAAACTGGATCCTGTAATGACAGATACTAGTGCTTGAGCACCTCATATTACCTTACTATATCCTACACACGAGTCTTCTTTCTACTGTTGTGTGGATGAGAAATTGAGGCCTAGTGGAGTGAGTTGTTCAATGTCAGAGGGATTGGCAAGGCAAGAATATTGGCTCAAGGTCTTTGATTTGACATTCCATGGACTTGCTACAATGCCCTGGTGCTTAGCAGGTATGCACCAGTGCTTTGTGAATTAGAATATATGATATGAACGTTAGCTGTTTTTCTGGGTGGATTCCCTCAACAAGCTTTCAGAGAATACACACTATATGCCCGGCATTGGACTCTGGAAATAGCGCCTTCACAATCAAGATGCTCACAATCTAGTGGTGTCTGTTGACAAATACAATATATTTAAAGTCAACAATGCAATTTCAGGCAGGACAATCACATCCATCCCAATTTGTACACTCACCTCTGTGTTCTGTAAATCACAGTTAGCAGAGCGATGATCACAGCTGTAATCAAACCATAGTCCAATCCCAGGAACAGGGAGGAAACAAAAGTGGTAAGCCAGATGGTCTACAAGAAAGACAGAAAGCTTTATGTAGAATCATGCTAGAATTTCCACACACACACACACACACACACACACACACACACACACGGTATCTAACCTTGCCTGACTAGATACTACATATAACAAATGACAGCACTAACTTACCTTTCTCACATTTTTACCAGCACTCATCCAGGTGTCGCAATGACATATTAACCTAACAATCATCTTTGTTACTTACCAGTTCTATTTTGCTTGTTCTCCAGAAAAAGGGGAGATCTGAGAATTGCATAAACATTCCTTTCAGGTTGACAATCACAATGGCTGACAGCACAGCCTGAAACAGAGCACATCACGCATGCGTCTCCTCTTGTGGACAGAGAGCCCCCTTTGCTGGCTCCTCACTGTCCTCCTGCTACCCTCCCCACGTCCTCTCCCCACTCACTTCCCACGCAGCCGTGATGGTACGTGTGGAGCCATGAACACCTGGATTTTCAGGACTTGGTTAGCTAGAATGGGCCTTGGAAAACCAGGCTTATATCCTAGCAACAAACCTGCATGGTGGTCAAGAGGTTCAGAATTAAACTTGGTACTCGAGGAATCATTTCACCCATGGTCTTCCTACACTATGATGTTCTCTACTCTGATCTCTGCTAGATTAATTAGATGGGCAAACAAATGTCTTCGGAGTGAAGGCCATCTCAGATTTTTAACGGAAGTACAAGGTCATAGAAGATCAAAGAGAGAAGGGACCTTGGAGATTAATCAGTCCAAACCCCCCACTTTGCAGATAAGGAAACAGAGACCCAGAGATGTTGAGGTGGCTTTCCCAAGGTCCCAGATTGTGGGGCAGGACTGTAGACTGTGGAGTGGGATCTTGGTCCCAGCCTTGGCCCTTTCTTATACTGCTCTGATAGGGTTACAGTAAAAACCCATGAGATGGCCACAAAAATATAAACAAACAAAAGAGCAAAATCTCTTCACATGGAAGCACCTCACACCAAGTCCAAACTACACACCTGGGGTAATGATTCAAAGAGGAATCCGGTGGCTAATATGACCAGCAGAATCATTAGCGAGGCCAAACAACCTGCAAGCTGAATGAGAGATGACACATGAAACGGGCTTTTAGAAGACACGAGTAAGAGGCGGGGCAGAGGGTGATCTTAGTCTTTTGTTAATTACTGCAGGAAGATCAAGAAAATATGGATTCAAACAAGTCATCAAAACCATTACATAAACCTATAACTCCTTCCTATTCCCCTTTCTGAAGTTTTGGTTTCTCTTACAGCTTTTAAATAGAGGCTGAAATGATTAAAAACTCTGACCGAAATGCCCTTGTCAGGGGTGAGGGAAAGGAATAATGACCCAAGACCCACAAGGGCCAGCAGAGTCAAATGAGACTCTGCTGTCCAATGCAGGAGCCACTAGCCATGTGCAGCTATTAAATTTTTAAAATTAAAATAAAAGACAACTAAAAATTCAGGTCTTGGTTGCATTTCCCATGTTTCAAGTGCTCAAGGGCCACATGTGTCTAATGACTGTCGTACTGGATGATGCAAAATAGTGAACATTTCCAACACTGCAGAAAGTTCTACTGGATGGTGCTGGCATCCTGACCATCCATACCCAGCCTTAGGCTTTCATGGCAACATCCTATGTCTGAACTCTGAGGTTTACTGGTAGCAGGGAGTGTTGTGTAATTTTCGATTTAACTGGAGAATATACCTCTTTCCTATAGATTCAGTTCCTGTGAATCGCTTCAACCATTCATGCCTTTCTCTGATTCACTACACAGCTCCCTGAAGCATCAATCTTCAGAGAGAGCAGCTTTGTTTGGGTTCAGAACAGAATCAGGGGATTAAAGTTTACTACCCCAAATCACTGGTCCTCAGAGGCTAGTTGTATACGCACCTGTGTCTTCCCTCCAGTTCCCTCCTGAACAAGGCTTCGAGACAAGGAGCATGAAATGGAGAAAGTCTGGAAGAGTGAGCCAATGGAGTTGCACAGTCCCAGGGCAATGAGCTCCTTTTCCATGTGGACACAAAGCACACGAGAAGTCAGTCAGAGAAGTCAGTCATTCTTCAGGAAATAAGGCATGATGGCCCATTTAAGATACATTTTCAGCAGGATAGGCTGTCTCTTCATTCTCTTTCCAGATACAAGAGTTTGTTTAGCGTGAGTTTAAAATAGGGATTCTTGAATAACATGGGAGAAAAACACTTAGAGCTTTTGTTCTGTCAGAGATAAAAGCTGCACTCACTCCCTAGTCCCCACTTTCCCAAACCCACTCTTTTACACAAATGTTTTTTTTTTAAAAGAAAACTGCAGCAAAAAGGGACATAATATTTATAAGTTATTGGTGTATAGAACTGTTGGCATCTTCTAAATGCCTGGACTGTTGCTCTTCAGTGAGTGCATGCCAGTGTCCTCCTGGGACCAGTGAGTGAGTGAGTGAGTCCTGCTCTCAGGGCTACTTCCGGTCTTCCTAGTTGGATCACTGTGTCTTGTGGGAATGTGCAGCATTTAATCTTCTCTTAGAAATACACAGTGTTTTAAAGTAGACATTGTCATGCCAAAATTCTGACTCATCATATTCAGATTAAATACCTTATCTATAGATAGGTTATAAAAGGAGGTGGCGGGGCACCTGGGGGGCTCAGTCAGTTATGCATCTGACTTTTGATTTTGGCTCAGGTCGTCTTGATCTCAGGGTTGTGATATCGAGCCCCACGTTGGGCTCTGTGCTGGGCGTGGAGCCTGCTTAAGATTCTCTCTCTCTCCCTCTCCCTTTGCCCCTCCCCCCATCCTTCTCAAAAAATTTTTAAAAAGTGGTGGCAAAGAATATAATGTGGAGTTTGAGTGATGAATCACATGTCCAAGTTTGATGAGCAAAGAAAAGTCTTCACAGAAATGGTTCTAGAAAAACATTTGCTTTTCAGGCTGTGAGCCTAAAAAATAAGGATAACATCTGTCGGAGTATAGCAAACTGAAAGCCTCACATCAAAGGTTACCTCTGCCTAGCAGGACCCCCACCCATGACATGAGGTAGAACTGTACCTCAGTGCTCTGATGATCTAATGCACAGGAATAATGAAAAAACAGTAGTGTTGAATAAATACATGTTTCCAGTACCCCCAATATCAAAGTAGAAGTTTTTCTAACGAGACAGAGAAATCCAAATCATTTGCCTTCCATAGCACAGCAGGATGATTATACCATAATGAAACATCTGCAGGGAATGAATGATTTTTTTTTACCTGATTGCCATCAACCTGGTAGCCATGTTTATTTGCCAAGGTCTTGGCCATTGAGATGGTCACTGAAAATCCAACAATGGCTATGGCGATGGCATCCACGTACACAAGGTGGAAGAGGCTGGTGTCCGGGTTCGCTGGAGGCAGTAGCCTGAAAAGTCAAGCTGACTTTAACCCATGTATTGTGGCCACTGGGAAAAAAACATGCAACTAGACGGGAGCCTTTCAGAAGAGCCTCACCTGCAAATGAGGTGATCAATGCTTGGGTGGTTAGTTGCTCTGGTTTGGCAAAAAGGAATGAATACCCTCTTTGACACACACAGGTTCTTTTTAGGGCCCAACCCTAGAGTACTGGCTTTCTACCCAAATGGGTTATCAGCAGATATCAGATGCCATTTTCTTTAGAAAAGGAGTAACCTCATACCTCATGACACTCTGTATGGCAGGTGTAAGTAAGACACAGAACAGGAAGAAGGGAGGGTCAGCAAAGTGCTCAGGTGGCACAAGACATTTGAACCAAAGTCTGAGGGCAGGGAGGGTGTTAACAAGGGCTGTCTTAGAGGAGAACTACTGTCCAGACTACTCCCCTTTGTTATTTCAAGTAAGGTCTCTGCTTCCCAGGATCTCTTTAGGTGAGTTTCTAACATGGGAAAGGAGCAACAGAAGATTATACCCTTTGGGTCTTACCTGGTAGCCCTGGGAATCTGAAGGGACCAATGGGGAACCCAGTTTTTGTGGTCCATTCTTATAGTTTGGAACCCTTGTCCTAAAGGAACAAAATAGGCATTCCCTAGAATGGTATGGGGTAAGGGGCACTAGACGTTTTCAAAGGCACCTGATCCAATTCAAGGCATTGGGCTAAATAATAACAACAATCAATTTACATACCATATTATTCTTTTTTACAATAACAACCATTTATTAGGTGCTTCCTCTGCGCCAGGTTCTGTGCTTATTTATCTCTGACAGCCCTGGGAGCTAGGCACCACTATATTCCCCAGTTTACAGATGAGGAAAATGAGGGATAGTGAGACTAAGCAATTTGTCCAAGGTCCGATGGCTCACGTACAAATGGCGACCAGTACAACAAAAACCATGAAGAACCTGCCTCCCTGTGCCTATTTCTCTGACCGTGTCATATCACAGTGACAAAGGAGATGTTTCAAGTTCAGGGATAAGGGAACGAGAGGGGGAGAAGGAAAAAAAATCCGAACATATATTAAGCCTACGTTTCGTGCCGTATGCTTGCCATACATCATCTCATCTGTCCTCACAGCAATCCTCTTAGCTAGGTGCCATTATTATCTTAATTAGAGGTGAAAAAACGGAATCTTGCATATGTTAAGTTATTTGCCCAAGATGGAGCAAGGAGTCAAGCCCAGGAGTTCTCCCTGCAAAACTGACTGTCTTTCCCTTGTACTTTGCTGCAGAAGCATTAGCCAGGAGGGAACCCTGAGCAGCAGATTTGGGAGCGAAGAAGAATAGGAGAAAAGAATGTATTCTGGAATGAGTTAAGGAAAGTAGACCAAGAAACAGGATATACTGCCATGACTGGGACCTTTAAGAGTCAACACACGGTCCTGTGTGTGTGGATAGATAAGTGCAGTAGTTTGCGTTCAAATATGGCCGCCAACAGTTCCATTCTTGTCTGGGCTGCTCCTCCCGTGTAGCAGGGGGATCTGTGTCTCCTCCGGTGAATCTGGGCTGGTCTTGTGATTTGCTTTAGCCAACTGAATGTGGGGCGGGTGATGCTGGATGAGTGCTTTTAGGGGCCGGCACCTTCTACTTTTCTGTCTTGTTTCCCTGAACCACCACATAAAAGAGTCTGGCTATCCTGCTGGAGTCACCCTGCGGGAGAAGATGCTCACCCGCCCTCCGCCTTCCAGCCCTCCACCTGACAGACTGGACCGGGGAGTGAAGCCCACCAGGCACCCCTTCAGATAGCAGCAGCTGCCCGAGAGACCCCAAGTGACAGCAGGAGACCACCCACCTCCCTACCTAGATTGTGAATTGTGAGCAAACAAACTGATTATGTTTTAAGACATTATTTTGGAGCAGTAAGACTTTCAGCAGTAAGACTCATAGATAAACGGTATGATTATATATAGATAGGCAGTTAGGTAAGCATTATTTCTTTCCTGCTTGGTTTGGGGCAGAGTTCCAGAAGGGGTAGTCAAGTTATAGAAAGGTAAAAAAAATTTTTTTTAAAGTATGACTCTCATACATGGAGGAAAAGCAACATATTTGGGTACAATGCAATAGGGAAAGGGAGGTATTGGGTAGAAACTGTGGTTATTTGTATGTGAATTTTTAAAAAGGAGAAATCTAAGCATAAGAATTCACATTTAATCAAATTATTTGTGATTATTGACTAGAACTGTCTATTGAATCTAGTCAAAGACGAAGGCTTAGCACTTGACTACTTATGTTAGAGACCCAGGTGTGAGGTAAGGGAAACGGCTAACAATTATGTTAGAGACCCAGGTGTGAGGTAACGGAAACGGCTAACAATTATGTTAGAGACCCAGGTGTGAGGTAACGGAAACGGCTAACAGCTGAGCATCGGAATGCGGTATTCTGGGTCCAGGCTGGGCCTCACCGGGGAGCCACTAAACCTCATCCATGTCTCTCAAATATCGCCTTCTCGGATGGCCGACCTAACACAGCAACCCCAGCCCCTCCCTATCACTTACCTGGCCTCCGTCTTCTTCACAGCACTTCTCACTGTTCATGCTCCCTGGTCCCCTCCCCCACCGGAGAATATAAGCTTCGTGAGGGCAGACACTTTTTTGCTTGCATAGCTGCTTTTGTTTTTAACTGCTGTGTCCCTGGCACATAACAGGCACTCAATAAACATATGCTTAAATAAATGAACTTCCTTATCGTGTCAAATGAGGAGAGCATATATGTCAACAGTGTGATTGTGAGCACCAACAGAGATGGTGGCTATAAAAGTATTTTATAAATTATAAGTCCAAACAGAAAAGCAAGTGTTACTACCGGGTTATTCCTTAACATGGAATCATAAGTAACATGTTCATGATGGCAATCCATTGCTTCCTCCTTCAACACCTGCCCTGGGGTGGGGGGTGGACGCTGGCTTCAAGAGCAACTCCTGCCCCTGTCCTTCCCCAGGAGATTCTTAGATGGGACCAGAGACAAGGCCTGATGCAGTATGCCAGGTTCATCAGTGCCCAGCATCTGGGCAAACATCTGATTCTGCTCATCTGGAAAGAGAAGAGGATGGTAAGAGGAAGAGACAGTACAAGAGACAGAAAGACAGAGACACACAGAGAGATGCAGAGACAAGCATGTCGGAGAGGCAGAATGAGGTGAGAAGAGAGGCTCACAGTTTATCCTTCAAACATAAAGAGAATAGTACAAAATTTTAAATGTAGAATTAGGTAAAAGGGGATTGATGAAGCAAAGAAGAGATGACTTGAAACTAGAAAATCTGTTGAAATAATGAACTGTAGAACTTCCAATTCCCGTGTCTTAAATGCTTCCAGGTGCACACACGAGCTCCTGTAGCTTCACAGCTGCCCTGGAGACAGGAGTCAATGATGGTGCTAACCTGACAGGGGAGGAGACTGGGGCTTTAAGAGGATAAGTGACTTGCCTGAGGTCACACAGCTAGTAAGTGTCAGGCTAGATTTAGGTTATTTTGGCTCTTAATTCCTAGGCCACCTGAAGAGAGATTTTAAGAACCAGCAACGGGAAACAAAAGAAAACACTACATACCACCGTTGATGGGATTGTAAAATGGTGTACTCACTATGGAATACAGTATGGAAGTTCCTCAAAAAGTTAAAAATCAAACTATCCTATGATCCAGCAATCCCACTTCTGGGTATGTATCCAAAAGAACTGCAGGCAGGGTCCTGAGGACTTATTTGCACACCCATGTTCATAGCAATAATATTCACAATAGCTAAGAGGTGGAAGCACCCCAAAGTTCCATTGCTGGGTGAATGGATAAACAAAATGTGGTGTGTGTGTGTGTGTGTGTGTGTGTGTGTGTGTGTGTGTGTGTGTGTAGCTCCAGTGAAATAGTGAAATTTCATTCAACTTTAAAAAGGAAGCACATTCTGTCACTTGCTACAACACAGATGAATTCTAAGGATATTATGCTGAATGAAATAAGCCAGTCGCAAAAAGACAAATAGAATTCCACTCCTATAAGGTACCCAGAGTAATTAAATTCATACAGAGAAAAAGAGTGGTGGTTGCCAGGGGTTGGCGGGGGGGAGGGTAGTTAGAGTAGAGAATTCTTGTTTTAATGGGTACAGAGTTTCAGATTTGCAAGATGAGTAAGTTCTGGGGATCCGTTTCACAACAATGTGAATATACTTAACATACTGAACTGTATACTTCAAAATGATTAAAATGGTAAATTTTGTTGTTTTTTTACAATTAAAAAAAAAACTGCTAAAACCCAAAAAGACCCCAAAGCCTCAGCTATTTGATATGTAGGCGGAAAAAAAAGAGATTTTGATTGTAAGAATACTAAAGCAGGAGTTACAAACAATAATAGATCTATTGATTATTGATATTACTTAAAATAAAAACGGTTTTCCTACCCCAGAGGAAGTGTCCCAACGACATCCACATTGTAGGATTCTTCCAGGTTAAACCCAGCTGAAATGCCAGTCCCCATCACCACCTAGAACAGACACAAATCCAAATGTGCCTTCATAGATGAAAATTCAAACGTGAGCTGCAAACGATTTTGTTAGCCAAGCCACAATCTAGTCTCACTTTCAACTTCCAGTTTTAAGAAACAGAATTATAGTTAGCCGCTAGCATTTCTAACTTCTCCTGGTGGCTCTTTTCCCACAAAATTGCCTCTTGGCTTGGCGTTCTTTCCTCTTTATTTTGTTCTGTTCCCTGCTGAGGTGTTTGGCCAGCTGACTGCAAACAGGAAGAGCCCTAAGACCTTCCAGGAGTGGCCTCTGCCCTTCTTACTACGATGGCATGAACAAGGGATGCTAGAGAGTGCACTGTGAGGGTGGTGCACTGACAGTGTGTCATTAGAAAATGTATGTTTGGACCCACAGTCTTTCAGCTGACCCTTGTCCACGTCAGCAGCACTAGCTGTGGTTAGAGGCGTCCACCGGCCCCCAGCGGTCTCCCCCCTCAGCTACACTCGGGGTCACTGAATCCCGCTGTGCATGAGCCTCCCTGGATGGTCAGGGCACAGATTCAGTGGATGTGTAAAGACAGCCCTTACTGACAAGCAACGGGAAAAATAACAGAAGGAGAAGCAAGTTTCTTCATCTTGAAGAACTATTGCTATCGAACTTTCTGAGTGGGTCATCCAGGGGAGAAGGAGGGCTGGCCAGGGCAGGGAGCCAGTCCTCACTGTAGTGGTGGCTGCAGGAAACCAATAATAAGGTACCGTTATTAATAAACCGTTGTGGTCATTTAAGAACGTAATAGAATATATAGTAGTTCATTGCATGTGCATTATTTTTACAATAGTTCCTAAGTTGTGAGATGTAAATATGTATTAAGTTGTAAATATGTATTAACTACTTAATACTCTTAGGTATTTCTTTTGGCTTAGGAGCACCAGGAACCAAGAAAGTCTGGGAACCTTTGTCTCTTGCTCTTTTCAAAATGGAAACAGCTTAATTTTTTCAGGTTATTAGAGTTGTAGGTATTCATTATAAAATAATTAGTCAATACAAATTCTGAGGAAGAAAAATCTTCCATAATCTCATCACTCAGAGATGATTCTCTGATGTGGCCTTCACCTCGACTTTGAAAATCATCCCTGTCTACACTCTCATAGATTTCCTTTCTTTTAGAATATTTGTGAAAGTTCCCCTTGACATATTCTACCCTTCTCTTGGCAGAACTGGGAGAAAAAAGGTAGAACTCCCTGTTCCTCCCCTTTCTAAATCCCTCACCAAAATAGTCAGGCGTCTGTGGCCAAAGTTGACTTACCGCAAAGAACTCTAAAGGAATGGGTGCAGGTAATTTCTCTTTAAATCTCTCATTAAACTCCTTGCCACCCAACAGCAAACCAAAAACCATCAGCCCGACGCCTAGAGAACACACGTTGAGGTTTCTAACATTCTGCAACACAGCAACTGTGCTCTGTAACACAATGAACACTGGATGTTACATCAAGCAACGGCCCCTGGAGAGACAGAGACACTAGTGTGCTAAGACACACCAGTCCTCCCATCACTGTGCATTTCTAGTTAAAAGTTCTCAGACCGAAATCTCTCCCATTAATTAGGAGGCATTTTTACCCCGTCATATAACTTTATAGTTTTAATTCTTTTTTTTTTTTTTTTAAAGAGCGAGCATGAATGAGTGAGCAGGGGAGAGGGAGAGAGAGAGAATCCCAAGCAGACTCAGCACTGGGTTCGATCTCATGACGCTGAGAGCATGACCTGACCTGAAATTAGGAGTCAGACGTTTAACAGACTGAGCCACACAGGCGCCCCTGTAGTGGTAACTGTTATCCAACAATCTTATATTATGGTGTTCTTTGATTGGGTAATGGCTCAGTGTAGTATTATCATATTCAGAAAAGTACCCGTTAAGCTGAGTTCTGAGCATGACGAAAGATTAGGGGTTGATATCAGCAAGATAATGCAAAGGTAAATACACAGAGAAGTTTTTTGGAGGCGAAAGAGGGAGAAAGAAGTCATAGTTAGCAGATGAAAAAGGGACCAGGTACACTTCAAAGGCAAGAGAGTGCTGAAGTTTGGACAAAGCCCAGGAGAGTTAGAAAAGAAAGTCTCCAGGGCACCTGGGTGGCTCAGTTGGTTAAGCATCTGCCTTCGGCTCAGGTAATGATCTCAGGGTCCTGGAAGCAAGTCCCACATCAGGCTCCCTCCTCAGCGGGGAGTCTTTTCTCCCTCTGCCCCTCCCCCCCGCTCCTGTTGTCACACTCGCTTGATCTCTCTCTCTCTCTCCCTCTCGCAAAAATAAATAAATAAAATCTTTTAAAAAATGAAAAGAAAAGAAAGTCTCCTACTTTTATCCTCGGGATGCAGCCTCAGCACCCCAAATATGGTCAGTACTCATCTGGCCCCTGGGAGAGTGGGTTACACTGAACCCAGGCTACACACCTTGCCTGTTGATGCCTAGAGCATACTCTGGTGCTTATCTGTTCTGTTTCCTTTGTGACAAGGCACTGAGAGAAATCTCAGTGTAGGAAGCAGGTCATCGGCTACTATGGGAAATGAAGAATTTAGTTATTTAGGACATGTTCCTACAGTTTGATCCCATTCTAATCCATCGAGGACTCAATTTAATGTCACTTCCCTATAGTGACTTTCTTAGACCCCTAATTGAAAGGTCTCCCTATTCACCTTTCATAGCCGCCTGTACCTTTCCTCCATAGCACGTAATACAGTTTGCAATTAATTATATATTTATGCAATTAATGGTTTACTATCTGTCTTCCCACGGGACTTGGGCTCCAAGAGGCAAGGGCCATATCTGCTCACTCACTGCTGTGCCCAGCATGATGAAATGCACACAAACACCTGCAAAGACCATCAGTCCTTCTGCCCAGGACTAGCTTTAGCAGCATCTCAGAACTTTGGATACGAAGAATTTAACTGTCATTTGGTTTTAGTTATTTCATAACTTCCTCTTTATCCATGGAATATTAAGAAGGTTTTTTGTTTTCCAAATGTAGGGGGGCTTTAAAGCTATATTTAGTTATCGATTGCTAATTATACTGCACTGTGTGAGAAAATACTGAATTTTCAGAATCTGTGATCAGTTTCAACACGATCAGTTCTTACCATTGCTCCCTATGTGCTTGGAAATAATTTATATTTTCTCTGAGTTGGGTGCAAGGGTCGACATAGATTTTATTAGATTTGATGGGTAATCGTGTTGGTTAAATCTTTTATAGATTTACTTTTTTTTTTTGCCTGCTTGAGTAAGCAGTTTTAGAGAGAGATGTGTTCTCCCATGATGCCTTTAAATTATGTTAGCTCCCAAAGAGAACACAATTCGGTCTTAAGAAAAAGCATTCCTTTCAGCCAATTAGGGTGAAGGTGCGGTCACCAAATAAAGGCCTAATAAAAAATTCCTTGTGAGGTATCACCTATTAATAAAATGGGACTTTAAGGTTTAATTCTCTGTGTAGGGTTCTCAGAAAAGTCTTAGAATAATGAGATCTTTTCCATTTTATTTTAATTCTTGGAAAAGTGAGCCTTGAAGGTGACAGAGATACAGAAGAGAAGAGAGGAAAATAAGGAAAAACCAGTAAGTCGGGAAGTAGCTTACTTACATACACCACTGAAAATATCCCACTGTACCGCTTTGTTTTCACTCCAAACAGGTATTTCAACATGGAGGTGAAGACGTGCACAGCTGCCGCGGTGGTAAACCCCCGGACCAGGGGCTCTGTGAGATATATGGCCACAAATCCAAACCTACAGACACCTAGGCAAAACTAATTTTTTTTTAACAACAAAGAAACAAAGAAGTCATGTGATAGACCAGGAAGTGAAAACCAACAGAAAACATACAAAAGTTCTTTCTGGACCACTTTCTAACACTACAGTCTTGCCTCTGCAGCAGTTAAGTAGCTCCCAAGTGAAACACCAGTTATACAGAAAGCAGTCGAAGGTTGGAAGTGGCTTGGAGCCCGCCGCCCACCCACCCCCCGGCACACTCATACTTTCCCCGGTCCTCAGAACTGGGGGCATGTTGAGTCAACGTCACCTCCTGTTCCTTTCAAGCAGGTAAGAGAGGGCTTCTTTCCAATACTAATCAATCCTGCTTTAAACTTTTCTTGCTTTTGGAATCTCTAAAGGACCCAACTGAAGCTTGCTAGCTCCTAATAAATACCAACATAAGTGAGCCGTGCAGTGGGACTGGTGTTCTGAGTGCTTTGAGCCCCGAGCTCTGGATCTCTGCTGGCTGGACCCTGCCCACCATGTAGACCAGCCCCGAAGGCTCAATAGGTATTTATTAAATGAACAAATGAGAGCCCATTTCTCCACCTGTGACTATTACCTGGATGATTCCTGAAAGTAAGGTCACAGACATGGCAACTTTCACCCTCAAGGCATCTCTTGCTTCTGTCCCGTTGGTTGCATTCACTCCTCCTGGAATGACTATATCATCTGGTACTAATCGAACAGCCACACCGCCAATCATCAGGCTAATCACAGCAAATGGACCTGAAAGTGAAGTGAAGTGAAGCATTAATTGAGGCAATCATTTTCTGTGTACCTCCTTGGTTGTTGCTGGTTCTCAAGGAGACCCAGGTGAGGTTGATACAGCATCACTGACCTAAAACTGCACTGCTCTTCAGCCTTGTGCCCCTGGGCTGTGTACATACAGATCGTATTCCCTAAAAATGACCACGATGGTATCTTCCATCCCATGGACTCTTCTAGAACCTGGATGTCTGCCCATTAAGAGGTAGTCTAATTCCTCTCTCCTTGAATCTGGGTGGGCTTGTGACATGCAGCAAAAGTGATGCTGTGAGGCTTCTGAAGCTAGGTAACAGAAGGTGATGCCACTGCCATCTCAGATGGAACACTTGTTTGCGCTGGGCACTGGGTGTGAGCAAGCTCAATTAGGACCCCGTGGAGAGAAGGATGGAGGGGCAAGGACAGAGGGAGGGGGAGAGAGTAGCTGCCTCACCTCCTCCTTTGACTCTCAACTTCATGACAGACCCTGAGGCAGAACTGCCCAAGATGAGCGCTTCCCAAATCCTGACCCACAGGAACTGTGCAAGATAATCAAGTAAATATTTTAAGCTGCTACATTTGGGGCATATTTGTTACCCAGCACCAGAAATCGGAAACATTGTGTGTGTGTTCGCTGGTGGTCGCCTCGTGCAGCACCAACGCTGTTATGAAGTCCATATAAGTCTTATCCTAAATACACTGGGAAAAATCATGTAGAGTTCAGAGCCTCAAATAGGATGAAAATGTGATACATGCATAGTAATTAGGAACATGCAGTAACACTAATAAAATAAAAACGAAAAAGAAAAACCAGATCCAAGCAAATTGTATTATGAACTAAAGTACTTGTTTCCCAGATTTCAACAATTGCTCTTTCTTACATGAGAAAATGTTTTTTTTTTTTCCCCGTATGCCAAGATTATAAGAAAGCTATTCATTCTGGAAATCTGGGGGGAGTCTATTTTTATAAAGCACCTAGAGGGTATGCAGTAACAAAAGTTACTATGAAACGGATGTTCTGATAACAAACAGGCTATTTCTTTGGCACACTGCAAAGCTTGGAAATCCAAACAGAACAGCACTAAAATATCAACTCTAAGCTTTTACCTATGGATATGTGTCTGGAGGTTCCAAGAAAACAATACATGATAACAGGGTAAAATGAAGAGTACAGGCCAAACACCGGAGGTACGGCAGCCAGCATTGCAAAGGCTAACCCTGTGGGATTGAAACCAAACAGAAAAACAGAGGGTTATATATACTTATCTCTTGGCGCTTTAGAATGAAGCAGTGAAAGCCACATTAACTTAAGCAGATGGGTCCTAACCTGCCCACCCTTGCATCCCAGTCCTATACCCAGGCTGAGACCCTTTTCCCTGTCATCTCCTCTTTGCCAAGGGGTGGACATTTTTCTGTTTTATTCTTTCCCAACCTAAGTAAGGGCAGAAAGTCTTACTTTTACTGGTGTAGCTATAATCCGTGTTGATGGCCAAATGCTGGCTGTTTCTGTAACAGGGTGTTTTTGTGGGTCTGTTGGGGATCCCTTTTCAATAAGGAACTCCCAGGGCCCAGTTCTTACACTCTTCCAGGTTCTCTCTGCAGGCATATGTTCCTCCCTAGGCAGTCTTCTTGGGCAGGTACCTTTCAAATGAGCCAAGCCTCATTACCTTCCAGAGCACCCACTTATCCAACAGGAAAGCTTGGCACCTTTATAAGAAGCTTTGGAAGTGCAGGCCACGCCCACTGGAGGGCTTTCCATTCTGCCTACATGGGCAGTTTACACCTTTTTACCTGTAGATTTTTTTCTCTTGCAAGAATTAGGCAACAATCCCCCCAAAACCCCAGAGGACATGTGTTCAGTGCTCTTGAGTGGTTCTCTTGCAGTCACTCCTACCTTGACTTTAGGTGGAGCGGAAATGTATAGTGCTCACCTCTCTCTAGAAAATTCTCACTCCAAATTTACTATCATATCCCTGGTCCCCAAATATATCCTGTTGAAGTGATGCACTAAAGAGACAGTTTGGTGTCATTCACTCATAGTTTTGCAGAGATGGTCTGTCTGGCATCCTCTTCAGAATGTGTAGGCAATAAACACCCCTTGTTCTCAGCTCAGGGGGGCTCAGCCAAATGTCTGGGACAACTACAAAATTCACTTAATGCATTGTCATGTCGTGAAGAAAAAAATTTTAGCCAAAGAAGAGTTGGGGAAGCATCCCTATTCCGTATATAATAATATGGTCATTTTAATGTTGTCTTTTTTTAAGAAACAAATTTCTATTTTTTATTTTTATTTCAAAGGAACGCATGTCTATAGTTTAAAAAGCCAAGCAGTACTAAAAGGCTCTGAAGAAAAGTGGGCTCTCTTCTGCCTTACCTCCAGGTTCTGCTCCCCAGAGGCGTTCACTTCCAACTCGTTTAGCTGTTTTTCTACCATTTATCTCATTTCTCTAAATCAACAGTCTTCAACTAAGAGGCTTTTGCGCACCCCCCCGCCCCCCAGGGACATCTGGCAATGTCAGGAGACATTTTTTGTTATCATGACTGACTGAGGATGGGGGCTGTTCCTGGTATGGTGCAGGGCTGAGAAACCTTGCTCTAAACAATGTGTTGGCATTATTATTCTCAGTTCATCAGTTTCAGATGTAAACTACTGACTTCCTGTTTTTTCAGCTTCCACTTAGTTATATCATAATATGTGATTTTTTTTCCTTTCTAAGAAGTTCTGAGATCTTCTCTTTAACCCTGGTATTCAGATATTTATTATGGTGTGCCTTGTTTTATTTTTGATTTCTTCTGCTGGGTACCTGGTGGTTTCTCGCAGCCCGAAAACTCATGCATTTCAATTCTGAAAATATTCTTTGATAGTCTCTTTTGTTCTGTTTAACCTCTTCTTTTTGGAATGCCAGCAGATATAGGACGGGCACCAGGACTGATCCTCTGGGGTTCCCATCTTGCCCTTCTTATTGCACACGTTTTCTTTTTTTTTTTTTAATTTTTTATTGTTATGTTAATCACCATATATTACATCATTAGTTTTTGATGCAGTGTTCCATGATTCATTGTTTGTTCATAACACCCAGTGCACCATGCAAAACGTGCCCTCCTCAATACCCATCACCAGGCTAACCCATCCCCCCACCCCCCTACCCTCTAGAACCCTCAGTTTGTTTTTCAGAGTCCATCATCTCTCATGGTTCGTCTCCCCCTCTGACATACTCCCCTTTTCTTCCTCTCCTGTTATCTTCTTCTTTTCCTTTTTTCTTAAAATATGTTGCGTTATTTGTTTCAGAAGTACAGATCTGTGATTCAACAGTCTTGCACAATTCACAGCGCTCACCGTAGCACATACCCTCCCCAATGTCTATCACCCAGCCATCCCATCCCTCCCACCCCCAACCACTCCAGTAACCCTCAGTTTGTTTCCTGAGATTAAGAATTCCTCATATCAGTGAGGTCATGTGATACATGTCTTTCTCTGATTGACTTATTTCACTCAGCATAACACCCTCCAGTTCCATCCACGTCGTTGCAAATGGCAAGATCTCATTCCTTTTGATGGCTGCATAATATTCCATTGTGTATATATACCACATCTTCTTTATCCATTCATCTGTCGATGGGCATCTTGGCTCTTTCCACAGTTTGGCTATTGTGGACATTGCTGCTATAAACATTGGGGTACA